TCGAAGCCTTTAATCGAACATTGGCTAAAGAAAGAGATGACGAAATGAAGGTTTTGAAAAGTGCCTGGATCATTTGAAATGTGGGTCAGACAAATAAATCAAATCCATGGAAGATAAGAGAACAATGAACAAAGAAGACAGACACGTGAGTCTTCCACTTGAAATATTGGTAGAGGAACTCTAAAGAGCGAGTAAACTCAAGATTTAGAGAAGAAATAGTCAAAACATCTCAAAGAAAACGGGAAATTAGTAACAAACTTAATACAATAACAGGTAAAAGTGAACGATGGGGGTAGTCATATTCCGATAATTTTGAAAATAGGTGCAAGGATGGCTTTAAGGAAATGTCACACAGCCCCGGTAGGTTTTAATTAAGCCGAACAGATCCTACCCAACCACTGCACGTTTGGATTTCTAGAATACCGATGTGGCATACGGTGATTGTGAAAGAGTGTAAATTTCTGTTTGTGGGTTGGTTGAATTCAATGATGTTTACATCCTTTTCTAAAACTGTGATTACATTCTGATACATTTCGCAATGATCCCTTATCCTGTTTTCTTCTGCTTTATGATCCGAGGATTGAGGAAGGGTTTCATATCAAGTGATAAAGTTGTACGTCTCATCAGCAGTATTCAGTAAAAGACTTAACAAGTTGTAACGACCAAACTTCAACTATTCGGTTTGAATGCTGAAAACGCTCCAACAAACTAAGGTTTATTCAGTGAAGCCAAACTGTATTATTTTGTGCACAATGTTTCTTTCAGTTACTTGTACTCAAAAATTGTGTAAGAATACAAATTTCTTAAGCAGTTTATATGGATTCAATCCATAAAACAAATTACGTAGATATATACGTAATATCTCAACAGTATAGCTCACCTTATAAAATCAGTTTCTCTGGAACATTTAGTGCATTATACATAAAAGAAAACGGTTATTAGATAATTCTTATATGCTCTAGAGATTTTAGTGGTGACCAAATCGAGATTTACTATAATCACCACCAAATAATAATTGCTATCTGGTCAATGAAGTATAAGTAAATCCAGTGTAAAGAATATTTTTGAAGGAGAAAGTTGGCGATACAACGAGCAGCAGGATGTAAATGATGGCAGAAACGCAATAAAGCTCGAGTTGTCACCAAAAGTCTTCTACGTTGAACTGTAACAGTAGTATTTTGCCAGGTTTGCTGCTCGAGTTGGCGTTCCACATCATCGTGGCTCGTATCCAGCGTCTGTAAATCACGTTTGTGGGGGGTTCGGACCAGAAGACGCTGCAGACGCAGGATGGAGCCGGGTTGTGCGAAAGGAGCTAGAAACGACCAGGTCGACCAAGTTCGAAACCAAACGTGTTCCAGATATGTTCGGAACCAGAGCATCGACTGAGTGCATTGACAAGAGCGTGTGTGATCAGGTCAGCATTCGCCGAGATTGACTGAAGCCGACGGTACCAACAGAGCGATGGTCGTAGATATGGGCTTAGGATACAAAATGAAGGAAAAAGAGAAACGTGCAGAATGCGTGTAGTATTAGGATAAAAGCTCTATCACTTATTCGTTGTTTCCTGGGTGGTCAGTCGCGGAAGCGTACAGGTAGGCGTACGCGGCGGCCGGAACACAAGACGGTAGAGTACCCAAACTTCTCGTAAGAAAACATATGGACAGGTAAATAACTCTCTTTCTCGAGAGCGATCTGTCGACGTTATATTCGAGTTTACATCGGAGGCGGTGTTCGCATCTACGCAGATAGTCGTTGGACGTTTTTTGATATACATAAAATCGCTGCTGTCGTGAAAAATTCCCCGGGCAGGAGCAATGTCGTGCCGTATACAAGTTCAGAGGCGGAACACTGGATATCTGCCGTTGCTGTTCTGTAATCGCCGTCTCGTCTCCAACGAATGCCATCTTTTTTGAGAACCGAATGAAGACAGGAGGCTCAAGGATTGTGAGAAAAACGAAGTAACACACATAGAAAGTAAACTGTCGAACGCACGCTTAGAGGAAACTGAATTGTCCTGTGCTAGTCGGCGAGGTCATGCAGTGACTGGGGGTCCGCTGATTACGATGTGACTTACCACATAATCAATTACCGACAGAAGCTCCTCGGTTTAGTTAATTTGGGGAATTTATCAAATATAAAATGAAATAAATAATAATGTAAAATATAAATTGGTGATTCTGTACATATCTGTTTGCGCGTTACAACCTTTGGATTTGATATCCGACTAATTGCAGCCTACGTGAATCGGGTAGCAATTCATAGAGCTGTAGCGAATTGATACCAATTACGGCTATGGGAACATCAGCAGGGATGAACGGCCATACATACTGCCGTCTATTGCCCAGGTTGATCGTTAGCTGTCGTGTACGTAGCGAGGAATGACAGAGCCATTCGCAGCGCCTGGTCGAAGCATCGTAGCTCGTGACATGCTGCTACTAAATTTAGGCACCTGTAGCAACCAAATACCTAGCGTTGGTGCGAAAATCGTGCACGTAAAATAAACTAACAACCTGAAATGAGGGGGAGGAGACAGATGGAAATGCAGTGACCTACACCTCGGAGTCTATTATATTATAGCTATCCACCAATTCGAAACGTTGTTGCAAGTATAATATATATTAAAAGACATTATTATTAGTATTGCAACTTATAAAAACTAGGTTAGATTCATAATAGACTCACCGTAATTGACTTCTGTGAATAAAAACGTCAGCTCATCAATTTTAGTGGTAATCGCTTCACGCTGCAATCTTCAGTTCAGTAAATTGTAGCGAATCAGAACTACTAATTGAGAGATAACCAAGTCAAATCCGGTTACCGCCAAAATTTAGAAGACCAGCTGTGATTGGAGGTCGAGGTATATTTACTGATGATCCCGTGATATCGAAAAATATCAAAATAGCAATAAATTCTGTAGTCGAAACCACCGAGGCAACCGAGCAATGTCAGTCACACGTGCCGCGGGCAATTATGGTTTTTAGTACAGTTAAATGAAAGATTACAGTAAAACAATCACTGGTACAGTTGGTTACAATAATAAATGTTTCTATCTCATCAATAGTGTTCTCTTCATAAAAATTGACTCATTACAAAATTAAGACCCAATTGCGGCAGGATGAAGTTCTCATGCTCATTGTATTCTCCAAAGTGAGCGAACTTTAGACAGGCTATCAAGATTTTAGTGTTGGAACGACGGAGTAGGTAGTCGAATATGATATCAGATTGGGATCATAGTTAAATTCATACATGGAACTTGCGATAATTTCATATTTGATTGGCTACGAAGGTGAAGTGGATTGATTTGAGAGCTTCCGTATCAATGCATCCTAAATCTCTTTTTGATTTGCATCCCTTTGTACCTGCTGAATTTGTAGAGTAGTATTAAAGTCATCCAGAGTGATAGACATTTTCACCATGATTAAAAAAATACCCATCACCACTTCTGTTAAGTCCTTGCATCCATCTGCCTACTAATATTCAGGAGAGAACTTTGATGCTATAGACTACTCAGTTCGACGTTGAAGCTAGCAAACACATGAGTTCTATTATGAGTGAACAACCTGAAGAGCAGAGAGAACATTACTGTTCTACTAATAACCTAATAAGTTGGCAAGCGAAGAGAACGAAGACTAATAAACTGAAACACTTATTCTGTTTATTCTTGACAAAGCACATGAATAAATATAAAACCAGTCGTACCACAATGCAAAAAGAATAAGAAAATCACATTTATATTCAAACTAGGGTATTAGAGTAAAAAGGTGGAGTACTATTAAAACATGTTGTATCATGTGCATCATACCTGTGAAATTGACGTCCATCTTTTCTGACCAACAGCTATAATCCCTGTCATACAAAGGAAATTTGGCACTAATCTCTTGGGAGCTCTTAGCCTGATACTGTCAATGATATCAGGGATTGTTATATCAGAAAGGAAAATGAAGGGTTGATAACTCTCAGGATTAATTTAAGGACTACTATTATGCATATTGTTAGTGTATAATTTTACTTAGTAACTAGATCATTATTTATATATATATTCTTTGTATCCTTACCCCTTGATTAACCCATTAACTACCATTGGATGGGTTATTATTCTTAATCTGCTGCTAGTTAATTATTCGCAGTCTACCCAATACACAGTCACTTTTAGACCTGTTCATAGTTAGCTATTAATTTCATTTTTAAAACCATGCCTTTACATAAATCAAACATGTTTGAAATATTTGATTCGATTAATGGAAATTGTTTACAGCCTATTGGACTGAACGGATCAAACAGGAATTAATAGGAATTTAGCTATTAACTCGAGGTTATTAACACGTCATTGTATCTTGGTTAGTGTTTTTTTTATGTCACCTAGTATTAGACAACGGGTTACAGAAACAAACAACAAAGGCTGAATCCAAGACTTCATAACTGTGATTTATTCGACATCAGCAGAAACTATTGAGTAAACCGGCTTATCAGTTCTTGAATTGTACTTGATTTTAAGTAACGCAGATTTTAATCTCTAAGAAGAGCCTTGAAATACTCGAAAAAGTAAATAAAACTCAAGCAATTGTTTATACAAACAGGTAATTTCCTCTTTGGAATTTCATGCACAATATAACTACATATTAGACAAATTTTTAACGCTTATGTATCCACTACATGTCTACATTAGATCTGTGCCTATTAAATATGAATTTATCGCAGAAACTATATGGAATAGATTTCAATGTTTACATAATTCAGAAATCATGCTATTAAATGATGAATATATAATCTGATTGACAAGAAGCTTTAATTTACTCAGAAAAATTTAACCCAAATTGACCAATTACACTTGACCAAAATCTATTAATAGATAAAAATGCTAATTAACTCTGATAACTTGAACTACCGGTGCAATAATCAAAATCACATCAAGATTATTATTCATTTAGATTATTGTGTAGGTGGTTAATTTTAGAACATTCAAGGAGTAATGTGATTGGTTAATTCATTTTAAGTGAATGGATTCATAGACATTTTGTCTAATTAGTTCAAACTCAGTGTGATCATAATAGGTGTATAGTATATTATTATGAGATTTCTTAGTATTTGGTTTAGTTGTTACAAATGTTACGATTCACACAACACCTATGTGTGTTATGCCTGTTCTTGAGTTTAACACACTACAACTATGATTGTAATGCAAAAAATCACTCAGGATCTATAAAAAATAGATATTTCCATGAATTAACTGATGTTAAATATGTTGAATCATTGAATTCAATGAAGAATTTATTTGACAATAACATATATGCAAATTTAAAATTATCTGACAGCAACACTTCTTGTGCAGAGGATATTATTACCATTCTATTGGGTGTATATCAACGGGAACGTTGGGCGTTACAATGTTTGTTTCGAATAATTTCTCTAATAATAGCTTTTATTGTACAGGGTTAGATGCTACAACACATCCTCCACCAGGAATTGAAGGTGGTGCTATGCATTGGACAGGAAGTTATGATGGATGCTTGAAATGTTCAGGCGGAGGAGGAGGAGGAAAAATGAAATTTCATGGATCATATTGTACTATGGTATTCAATGTGACCACTACCATAAAAATTATTCCGGTATAGTTAACATTTTATATCAGATTTAATTTGTATCATTTCACAGGAGTTAAGAATGTCATTTGGATTATGCATGCCTGACAGTTGTACTAGTGAAGAGGTTAGAAATATGATCAATAAAGGTAAGATCATACAGTGTTATTTTTTATGTTAAATCAATTATAGTTGCAGTGTCTCATCCTTCAATCAAGATGAATACAAAAGAAAGTTTTTGTCATCGATATGTGAGTGAAGTTCCAAAAGACACATGGTATTACGTAGCCGTGTAAGTAGATACATGTAATGACAGTGTATATATTATTTGAGTTTTTCCTTTAATTCAAATCGCCAATCAATAAACATTTGCCATAGCTTTAGCTTCATGTAAAGTTACATTGATAAGTGTTAACTGATTTTATTATTTGAGAAACACTTTTTTAAGTTTGTAGAATTTCATTTTGTAAGAAGTGACTATGTGCTAATTTGAAATAACTTACCATATGACAGTCTGTTACAACTATAAGCACTTCTAAACTAGTAACGTTTATAAGAGTTGTGATGGTGTGCTCGATCCCTATTATAGGAACTTCAATAATATCATTTATACTTGACAATCGAGAATCAATGAAATTTACACCATATGCAGTAAGAACATAGAAGACTGGCTGAACATTCTCAAAACATGTTGTTAAAACCAGTCTGCATGAAACTCATTCATATTCTGATTTTATAAACATTTGATGATTTGTTAGGAAGTACTATGTATGCAAAGAATGCACAAAGTTACTACTAACTAAACACATAAAAAGTTCACGAATATAATTGTCCCATTGAAGGATAGTTCATAGTTTGTCATACTACACAAATATTAAACACTATTGAATTTCATGTTACTAGTTCCTTTGATAAATGTTTGTAAAGCAAGAATAATTAATGAACGTTGTTGGGTGAAATGAATTCAGTTCGTTGTTCGTGTGCTCTGAGTTATCTACGCAAGTACATACTACACATTCCATTCATTTGTGCAAATCAATGACAATGTAAAAATTATTTGGAGCACTCAAAATGTAATGAAATTGACCTCGACCTATAATGCTTATTGTTTTTACTTTAAAAAAATTCATCTTGAACTAATACAAACAATAACAACCTGAAATAATGTCACTTTTTTTTTAATGCTTTTATATCAATGAAGTCGCTTAACTATTGATAAAATCATGACCATTTTATGATAGTAGTTGGAATATTTTCTAGATTTCCTATCAAGATTATACTGAGATTGTTGAATGTGCCTGTCAATTTATGACGGATCCACTTAAAAAAGACCATAGCTAGCTACAGTGACGTGGTGGTCGGGCCGGTAAGTGATATCACCCCACTTACCAGTAATAGCACACGAGACTGAATCGGTCACAATCAAATCCTTCCTATACCTCTTGACTGACTGACTTATTCAAAGAGAAATCAATGGTCAATTTTAACTTGATGAAGTAGTTTTGTAAAATATTTTAGCATTAGAATTAAATGTGTATCGTGTTTTTCACTATCAAGCAGAATATAAAAATTACATGTTCATCCTTTTCATTCTTGGTTAAGATTATTTATTTTCTAAAGTATCTAACTGGATACACAAAACAGTCTTGCATTTAACAAAAGTCAATTCGATCAATCATATTGGCCAATAAACATAAATGTTCAGTTTGATTGTCAATGAAAAGTGTTTATTGATTGAAAAAAATTGTGATCAATAAAGTGTAGATGTTGCTAAATTATAATCTACACTCAATTGACCTTGGAAGCAAAAATGACAGTTGTTAGATATTCACAGTTATTTAACTGTGCTTTATCTATTTTTTCATTTGTTGATTTTAATTTAGCAAAATTTATATACTATTAATATCCGCTGAATTAATAATGTTCACAAGATTTGTTTACAATATTTTCACATCACTAAGTTACTAAATAACATTGTGTGAAGAACTGAATTATGTAAATATTGGTGTGAAGAATATATAATCAAACCAGCTCTGATTGGGTTTCCAGAGGTTGCGGTTTACAAAATCATTAACTTTTCTAATTGCTAACATAAGGAATTTTGTTATTGTCAATAAAAATTACGTTATTTCGTGATCCAATGAAGAGTTTCACTTGATGTCGATGGAGTTACATGCATTGAGTTGAACAGTTTCATCATACAACTTTCACTGTCCTTCTGAACAACATAATCAGCACAAACTTCAGAGAGAAATGAGCTGTTCAAGTTTCTCCACATAAAAATAACGACTTATCTTGTTTACTTATTGTTGACCTTCACCTTATCTGCAGTGTCTGCGTATTTACCCCGACCGTTTTTCTATTTGTCCTCATTTTTGTCACTGCTAATACTTCAACTACTTCTACTACTATGCGATTTGAATTGACATTTCCAACTCTTTGTGTTAATTTGGCATGAGAACATGAGCTAATATACGTACTTATCGATTTCTACGTTCTACTGTAAATTATCGTATATTGTAAATCATTTGCAATATACCATGACCATTGTAAACACTGGAAAATACAAAACGTAAATATCTAAGAATATACATATATATAAATATGTATAATGACAAAGGTCTAAGTGATAATTTATCTCAGTAGATGTAACGAGTAATGTATATTTTTTTGAAGTAAAATTCACAGATTCAATATACACCATATGCTGTAGAATGCATAATGTTCAGTGTGCAATCAACATTGTCATCAATGATCATGTATATATTTTCGCGTGTTATACTAAACAGATATCAGTATGGTGTAGATTAGACATGGAGTATTATTGAATTAAATAATATATATATATATTTACGAGTTACAATAATAAATATTGATGAAATTATCCTGACATTTACATCTCATTGCACTAATGAGGTGAGACAATTTGAACTGATGTACACATGTATTAGGTTCTACTTATGCATGACTGACTTGAAAGTTGTATAAATAAATAAATGATTCTTGAAGGAGATTTATGGAGAGTGTATGATTTGTATGGTTGAGCATGCGGATCGATCTTAGTTTGACCATCTTTGAAAACCTAGGAGCTCTGAATGGCTGTTTTTTCTTCAACAGTGCGCCCCAACGACACTTCAAGGACGGGTCGAATCGAGAGCCTCCAGTCTTACGTGCGAATGATTAACCTCTAGACTCTTGAGATGGTATTCAGCTAACCTAATCAGACAAACAGTTTTATGGAAACAGAGTTAAAATATAAATATGAACGCTTTCCAATGCGATGGAAACTTGTGTCAGACTCTCAGAAAGTAGGTAACATGTCAACCTCAAACTTTAATGATCTAGACACAAATTGTACACAGACTATTTCCCACTTTGTAAATAATTTTGAGTACAGTCTAATTAAACACATTACTGAAATAATTAATGTTATTCTTTTACAGATCAATATGTTCAATAATAACTATTCTTGTTGTAATCGCCACAAGTATCGATATGTTATTATACATTAAATGGTATCGTATACGACTATCAAATAGGCGTATTACTGGAACAAATCATCAGTCTGAAAGAAGCTCATTTGAAAATATGAATCATATTGAAGAACAGACACGTCCTTTATTAGAATCAGACGATATTACATTCACTGATCATGAAGGGGAAATTGTAGATCACACTGAAGAAAAACACTTTAAAACATTCTACCAATACAGAAAAAGTAAGTTTATTGGTTTTGAAAATGGTTTACTAAATGCCTTGAAGAATGTTCCAACCGAAAACAATGTATTCGTGGCTATGTTTACAGACAAACTACATTTATAGCTGAGAGTATGGATTTATCATATAGTGCTAACATGATTAAATAGTTATATAGCTGACAATTGATGTACTGATGATTTCTTGAAGCTGGATGGAACGAACATGTTAGGTTAATTACATAAGACATTAATTAAAGAAAGAACATTTGGATACATTCAGAAGTGTCAAAATGATATCACTGACAAGCAATAAAAGTTGAATGAACTATAGATAAAACTATATCTCCATAATGCTAATTTATTTGCAATGAAATCAAAATGAACAGTAATGCATCAGTCAATTTCGAGTCTGCTCATCTATAGACGCTAGTAATTGATTAGAATAATCTGTGGAACTATTAAGCATGGTTTACATAAGCAGAGAATGACTTTATAGATTGATCTTATTTCTTTGAACCTAATTCATTACTGGATGTCATTGAAAATCATTAATATATGGCTGTTCATTGATAAGATTTGTGTCAAACGACTCAGTCAATGGCGATTCATTGTCTCATAACTAATTTCAACTGTCTCAAAACTCTACTACAAACTTCCGTATCATCTGAGTAATCACATGAGTAATGCTTCAAATATGGCTGTTTTAGGAATACGACCATCTAAATCCACTTTCAGATTTCATATATGGAAGTAATAAAAAGTGATCTAATACACAGAATGCTCATAATTTAAGAGGTGCACGGACACCATGTTCATTCAACCAATGACTCAAGCGAAAGGAATTCTGAAGAAAGTTCCAGTTTCTTCAAAATTCAGACAAATGACCATTTCATTTTTCCTCCTCTGACTTAATTTACGTTATATATTTCAAAAACGTAGTTAAGAATACCTGAAATGTAAATTGCAAGGTACATCTGAAATTCCTTAGAAAGTGTTCTGAGGCACTAATTTAATAGGGTTAATTGTTGTCCATTAATAGTACTTTAAGAATTATTTTTACCATAAATACTGGAGCTTTCAAAATCGGTAAACCCTAATCACATTGCTCCTCTCTATAGAAAGTCTGTTAATATCATCTGCACAGTCAAACAATTTGGTTCGGACCTTTAGTCTAATGTGTGAACCCTAAACATCTAACATTTCTACAATTGAGTAATATCTGAAACGCAAAACAACTGTCACCCAACGAAACTAAAGTTAGAATTTTCAATACAAAATAGGTTTGATTGTATGAAGCTAAAACTTGGAGACCTAAAAAAACCATCATTCGAGAGAAACAGGCATTTATAAACAACTGTCTACTCAACGTACTCTGAATCTGTTGTCCAAACACCGTCAGCAACAACCTATTGTGGCAGGGAACAAACCAGCTTCCAGGTGAGAAGGTAATAGGAAAAATCACTGGTGTGGATAGGACAAGTATTGCGGACATCACCCAAATTCGTCACGAGGAAAGTTCGGAATTGCGATCCTGAATACCGAAGGAAAAGAAATAGACCAAACAACACAGTGTACTGGGAATTCGAGACAGATATGACAAAAACAGATACCAATTGGAAACAACTGATTAAGAGAGTCATTGACAGAGTTGATAGAAGAATCATGGTTGTCAGCCTGCTTCATGAGAAATAACAGGCGATCTGCTTGCACATCTGGGCTACCTGTTTCTTAACATCAAAATATTGTAACAAGTTACTTCTCTTCACTTGTTTTAACTTGCTTATGCTTACTGATCACATTATCTATTCAGACGAGTATATATTCAGTAAAAGAACTTTCGAGTAACAAGATTCGAAAAAGTACAAACCGAGACATCTCCGTGGCTGGTAATCTGCTGAGAAAACAATGAACGTTAATAAGATGTCGATTCAATAGTAAGTGAGTAATAGCATCGATCAATTCATGATTTTAATGGAATTCAACAATCCCCTCAACCCTACAATGACAGTTTCAAATCCTTTTGATTTTAATTTTTCATCATTATCACTTTGTTTTTAAGTTATTCCTCACTTTTGTCATACTCGTCAAGTTAACAGTGATCCTTCACACTAGTGATTTCATTGTTTCTCATTTTAATCGCCGATTATTAAGAAATTTACTATGATGCATGATTTGATGCAGTTGTGTGCCTGTGTGTGTTAATTTCTTTATCCCAATTTTAGAAAGTAATTATTTCTTTTTTACATATTTTTACACTTATGAACCAGTTGGTCATGGCTAACGTAATTTAGTCCTCCTACTTCCTAGAATCATCAGTATAAGCAATCCGGTTGAACATTGAATTTTGATCAGTATTAGGCTTATTTGTTGGAAGCTAGGACTTCGATTTTATTCTGATTGGTATCTGTCGGTATCTAACATCTGTAATCAGTTGAAATTAAAATAATGAGAATGATCGATTTTTATAGTTTAAAACACTAAATTATCCATGACAATGACTTGAAACCACCAAATGCCGTCTCTTCTCATTAAGGAAATTCTATCAGAGTGCATCTGCAACTCCAAACCCATGACCTCCGGTCACGCGCGCAAACACCCAACATTGGTAATGTCTAGCTAAAATCGATTCACAATATTATGCAACCCCTATCTATTACTCTGGATAAGTGCCTCATACCTGACATGGTTTAATTCCACTGGTCATTTCTTCTGAATAAAACTCTCTAGGTTTCATCTTGAAGCTAATCACTGGTGAGCACATAGATATTATTAATGAAAGTGGAGTTTTCGATGTTAACATCTTGTAGTAGTTAACAGACCATAACATGAAACTTGTCTGTAGTAATATTCTTAAAATCGTAATCATATGACAAGTCAATAAAATAGTAACACTCAGCATAGTTAGATGTAACTTTTATTGTAAGATCAATTTTTGTTCATTAAAAGAATCATTAGGTTAATCAATATTCATCGAATGTTTTGTTCATCGAAATCTAAGCCAATCAAATGTTGTTTTAAAAACAAGCAAGTCAATGAAGGAAAACGTAGAATGCATTTAGCAGACTGATAATTGTTATGATAAAAAGCAGATGTGTTTATTGGATCATGAATAATTTTAATGATTTATTGATTATACACGACACAGTATGAGCATGATATGAGTTAAAAAAATATGAAAAACGATTGGTATGTGCTTTTTTTGTATGCCTGCACCCGAAACTAAATATATATGATACAGTAATGTTTGATTAGTGAAACCACATTATAAATCATTGTGCTAAGTTGTAGAGATAATTTTAATCATAAAATGAATTTAACTAAAGAGCTACGGGTGCAATTAGGAAGCAATGCTTTGGTTTTAGTTCACAAAAAGTATCATATTGAAGATTATATTAGGAATCGAATCCAAAAGACTTCATATTTCTCAGTGAACCAAAAGCTCAAATTCTATAGGTAGAATTTCCGACGAAAGCTGACTTAAAATATGAGTCAGTTTGTACGACTGACTAGGTATACCATAATCAAACTTCGAAACGAACTCTTGAACTCTCGATATATAAAACACAATTAGACAGAGAATAAGAAGTCAATGAGAAATATCAAGTTCCTTGATCCCATCCCTGGAGAATTTTTCAAGATAAACTTCTAAGATGTTTCAAATAAGAACCAAAACAGATTTCCAGTAAAATTCCGTTTTAAAGAGTTTACCAGATCAAGTCGAAATAATAATAATAATAATAATTAATTTCGTAGATGCGCACTGCTGAGGAGTCCAATACCAGGACGAGTCGGCCGTCTTGCAGTGCTTCCAGGTTTCTAATGGTGGTCTAACATTGATCGATTCATGGTTTCAAAAATTTTGATATGTAAAGAACTTTAACATGACACAATTTTTATGACTTTGCAGTTTTATTTTTATGTTTATGTCGAATTAAACCAGAGCATTTCAAGGTTTGCATCAAAATCCATGACTGTACTCACACCCAACTGCTACTGCACATAATCTATGATATGAGAATGCTAGTCAAAACTTGACATCATTTTCTATTCAAATTGAGTTGACGATTACTTTGTCTCTCCTTCCTCATGTCAATTTTAAATCACAGCAAAAAATGACTGTGGATTTTTAAACATTGTCTTATCTGTCCTTTACTATTTTAAAGACTAGACTTTATTGATTCACACAAATTATATCTTTAGGCAAAGATGGAATATTTTCTTAGCTGTCACATGAGACCATTTCCAGCGTGAAAACATTTATTTATCGTATCACATAATTTTAATCTTTCATTTTCCTCATTACCATATCATATACTACTAGTATTATTCATTGTCATATCACATTTCAACCAAGGTAAGTTGATGCCACCAGCATTTGTTGGATTGTCAAATCTCATTGAATTACTACTGTAAAATATATTTATCAATCTGACATTTATATTAGTCAAACAAATCTGTCAATTGTCAAATGTTTTAAAACTATTGTCAATTTCATCATGACAAACACATTGAGATAAGGAATTTTCGATTTATGCAAAAAAATAATTTATTGAATGATTGTTTTTGATAAATTAGTCATTTGATGATTTTGTGATTTTAATTTACTGAACTGTTAATGATTTTTAAGCATAATGAGATTTTTCTAGTGAGTATTAGAATAGTGAGTTTATGAGAAGACATTTATTTCTCAATTAGATTGATTCATAACTTCAAGGTGTGAGAAAACTTATATTCATAACTCTAATTGAAAAATTGTACAGTACGCTCACTAGTGACTAGCTTCGTGAGTAAATTCTAGGACTTCTAGGGAGAAGAAGTGAACAGTGGAGTTCAACCATGTAGGGTGTAGGCCATTAGTACCGAAGGCGAATGGGTGAGGTCGCACAAAATCCCCAAATTGACCAGACTTAGACATTAACACAAATGAATGCAATCGACTCCGTGGTCCAGAGGCTAGGTGTTCGTACGCAAGACCGAAGGTCCTGAGTTCAAGTCCTGAGCGTAGCAGGAGTCATGGAGCACATTGCCGAATAGTCCCATACCACGACAAAGCGGCTGTCAAGTGCATCGAAGTTTATAGTGGTGATCTATAAGTGGTTGACTCATGACTTCAACATTTCTCTCTCTTTTTACAAGGTGTTTTAGAAAAGCATATTCTTGTAAAAATCACCTGTGCCTATTCACTGCCTGCTAATACAATGAAATTATGCTCACAAACAATGGGACATGATCAGTCGAACAAAACAACTCCTATCTCATTAACATTTCTTGATGGTATCCGATTTGTTTCAATGATTTGGATTATTGGTGCGCATATACTGCTGCATGGTTATAAGTTAACGAGTGAGTTGAATTGGTTTCAGTATGCTATAGAATAATATAAATATTTTAAAAGCAATTTTTGGCAAGTATAGTTGTTTTGATATACAACCAAAAAAAAAAACTAAATAACCCGGTCATTTTATTTTATCGCGCTATATGATAACTTTTCTAAAGAGTTCAACAAAACAACCTATCATCAGATATGTACTTACTCAAATAAGTAATCACCTATCATGATTGACCGTCAGATTTAGATAAAAAAACTGAGTTGATTTACTATTAATTACCTGATTAGTGCAAATATGTAACCTACCTGACCTGGTTAAATTCCATTGTTATATCTCTTACGACAACATCCAATGGTACAACTTTAAATCTCACAAAAATATCAGTCTTGTCCAAAGTAAACAAATGCCTTATAAACAAGTATCACTAGACTAGCATAAACTTGTGTCTAAGATTTTCTGTTTACTTCCCCCAGCCATAGGACACACGTCTATCTGCTTATGAAATTTCGCCTAACAATTTTGGATTGAACAAAGAGAGCTCATTTAAATGTTTTGTATTAGAGTAATATGGAGATGGTAATTTCACCTTGAAATAATGAATGAACCATTGTTATGCCGCCATTAGAAACCTAGAAGTACTAGACGGCTATTTCGTCCTACTATGGGACTCATCAGCAGTGCTTAGTAGTGAATAGCTTCGTGAGAAATTTCTCGGACTTCTAGTGGAAAGACGTGACCAGTGTGGTTCAACCCGGTCAGGCGTAGGTAGTTACTACCGCGCAAAATCTCTAGATTGGTCAGAGTTAGACAATAACACAGTCGGCCCAGTGGTCCAGAGGTTAAGAGTTAGTGCGCAAGACCTAAGATCCTAGATTCAAATCCTGTTGATGAGTCCCATACTAGAACGAAACAGTCGCCTACGTTTCTAATGCTAATCTAACAATGATTCATTCATGATCTCATTTCAAATTGATTTAGATTAGAAAATGTTTATGAAGTTCAGTGTTGTTTAAATGCTGGTTAATTTCATTTTACAGTAGACTGATATTTGCTTTGCAAGTTTACACACTTTCACTTTCATATGTTCAGTAGTAAAGAAACCATTAGCTCGGACAACAATCACATCACACTTTAATCACTGACAAATTTTCTGCACTGTTTTAAATTCATCACACATAGAACGATCCTCAATAGATTTCCGTTCGAATAAATATCTTACAAAATGGAACCTCTTCATTAGAGTTTTACATGATATTTTGTTAAAATAAATCAACGGTGTAAATTGTTAGTAAGTAGGTGAAGGTTAATATAACATTCTTCAAATTATATTCAGATCTAACTTTCTATAACTTTGTTTACTAAGATATTTCCTATGATTGTAAGCAGAATGATTAGAATGAAAGGATTATCTTTAACAATTCACAAGTAAAGATGTATTTTTCGTACCAACTTTAGTACATTTCCCTAGAATATTAAAAATTTTAAATAAAATAATAGAAAATTTCTGACTGGTAAGATAAATAGTTTCATAAAAAAGTACACTGTTAAGCACCCTGTGCACACTTTGAACCGATAACATTCATACATCATGGAATGACCTTAGTTAGATAATGAAAGTGAAATTAGGTAATACTCAGTAACTGTTTTGTTTCAACATGATACTTTCAAGCAGTGCATATCGACAATGTCATCAGAAATAGGACTCAGAACCTTTAGACCATATGGTATTTTGGCATACAGTGATTTACATTTGAAACTTCTTTCAGTTGTCTATATACTAACTAAAGATTTGAGTTTCCATTCTTATTCACGTTGTGGATATCTACTGTGCAAAAAGGTACATACTAGAATAGAACAACCATCCTAATTTTCACTAGTTATCTAATCAAAATCATTTCATGTTGTAACATTCATTATAAAATTCAAAATCTCTAATAAAATGGAAATTTTACCATCTATGTGAAATTGTGCTTTTTTTTTAAATTTATTTTCAAAACAACAAACATTATTCTAGATAATTTATTAATATTATCTGATGATTTTGAACGTATCTGGTTGTTTGGAATGTATTTTAATGGCCATTTAGCTCCGGATATCTTCTTTTTCATATCGTAAGTACATATTTTTAACATGGTTATTTTATGACATTTTTTTTCAAATACACATTTAAGAGCTCTGGATTTCACAATGATAAGAATAAAACGAATTCTGATAAGTCGATGTACATGCAACCTAGTATTGGTGTTCCGGTTGAGACTCCAATCCAGTACTTGTTTCCTACTCTAAGCTACCAGCTCTAGATAGTCATTGACTGGTCAATATAATTATTTCTACGAGAATAGAGTTATCTGGCGGTTGATATTTCGATCTGTCTTTGTTGGCATATGTGCGAAACACCTGTGTTAAGTAATTTGTGATACCATGATTGAAACATTGAAACAATCCACATAAAATGAATAAATGTACACCGAAAACAACTTACCATGATTCAGTTTAATTTATACAAGCTTACTTCAGAAAAGTGTTTAGAATTCATTTGTGACCAAATCAGTTTATGAGAGTAGTAATTAGTCACAAAGTACATAGAGATGCAACTCTGCCTGTTGACCCTTCGAGGTTACTGCCGGTCCCAAATCCGGATAAAGGAGGAGGGTTGAACATGGGGTGAGTGACGCCATCCCTCCAAAACAACTAACCGGTTAAAAAAAACGTTAACCAGAAAAAATAAATCAAACCATTTTAACTCTGCCCTGGAAGTTGAAAGAAAAATTATGACGTCTCGTGATGAAAGCCGAGTTCATACGGAAGTCATGAGGCCGATGCCGATCTTGACAACTAGAGCAACCATTCTTTTAGGTACATGGAATGTTTGAACATTTGGGAGACCGAAATACTAATCCAAGTCACTGCAAGAATGAAAAGAAACAATATGAATGTCCTTGGAATCAGTGAAGTGCACTGGACACAGGATGGACAACTAGGATTAGCTTCAGAAGAGCTGCTATTATACTCTGGCCATGAAGAAGAAAATGACTCTGAAATAAGGAGCCGCACTGATGCTGTCCAAACAAACACAAACGGCATTAATAGGATTGGAATGTCATGGACCAAGTATCATCAGAGCATCCTTCAAAACAAAGAAATGGCATTACCATGAACGTCATCCAGTGCTATGCATCTACCACTGACTACAGTAATCAATTCTATGAAAGGCAACAGTCAATCGATGACAGATGCTCACCAAAGGATTTGAAGATTCTGATGGGAGACCTAAATGCCAAGGTTGGCATGGACAACACTGGATATGAAGACACCATGGGACGACATGAACTTGGACTGAGAGAAAGGAACGGAAACGGTGAGAGATTTGAAAACCTATGTGCCTTCAACAAACTGGTCATCGGTGGAACAATATTTTCACACAAATGCATACACAAGGCTACATGGATTTCACCAGATCACACTACTAAGAACCAAATCGACCATATCTGTATCAACAAAACGTTCAGAAGGACCATGGAGGATGTGAGAACCAAGACAGGATCTGACGTAGCCTCAGATAACTACTTACTGGTCGCCAAAATAAAACTGAAACATAAGAAACACTGGACAACTTCATTGACTATGAGAAAGAATTCAATAGCGTGGATAAGAAAACACTATGGAGACTTCTTTGACACTTTGACACTTCTTCGAAACTACGGCGTGCCTGAGAAGATCGTCAACATCATACGGAATTCTTACGATGGATTAAACTGCAACCCGCGCATGGAGGGCAGTTCACAGACTCGTTCGAGGTGAAGACCGATGTCCGGCAAGGTTGCTAACTCTCAACCTTTCTCTTTCTCCTGGTCATCGACTGGATTATGAAGACGTCAGCATCTGGAGGGAAGCACGGTATTCAATCGACAGCTACAATGCAGCTGGACGATTTGGACTTCGCAGATGATCTGGCTCTTCTATCGCACACGCAACGACAAATGTAGCAGCAGCCTTAGCAGCAGTAGGTGTCAACATACATAAAGTAAAAAGTAAGATTCTCCGATACAACACAACCTGCACCAACCAAAGCGCTCTTGATGGACACGCCTTGGAGGACGTTAACACCTTTACATATCTGGGCAGCATCATCGAAAATCAAGGTGGATCCGATACAGATGCGAGGGCGCGGATCGGCAAAGCAAGGGATGCATTTCTACAATTGAAAAATATCTGGAACTCCAAACAGATATCAATCAACACCAAAATCAGGATTTTCAATACAAATTTCAAGACAGTTCTACTGTATGGGGCGGAAACTTGGAGAACTACGAAAGCCATGATTCAGAAGATACAAGTATTCATCAACAGTTGTCAACACAAAATACTCGGATTCGTTGGCCAGACACGATCAGTAACAACGTACTGTGGGAGAGAACAAACCAAATTCCAGTGGAGGAGGAAATTAGGAAGAAGTGGATAGGACACACACTGCGAAAAGCACCCAACTATGTCGTGAGTCAAGCCCTCTGTTGGATTTCTGAAGGTTAATGGAAAAAAGGAAGGCCAAGGAACACATTACGCCGAGAAATAGAGAATGACATGGGAAAAATGTACAAAAATTGGACAGAACTAGGAAGGGAAAGCCAGGACAGAGTTGTTTGAAGAACACTGGTCGGCGGATTTTGCTCGATTGAGGGGTAACGTGAGTTAGTAAGGAAGTACACAGAAATGCAACTAATTCGATTTTTATAATCTTTCAAATCAAATGATTAATGCAACTGATAATGATTTCCTCTCTCTCTATTCAGAGGTTTATTAATGTGTTACATATGTATGGGACGATTATCAAATCTAATTGGTGTGAAAAACCATATCAAATTTTGGTTCAAGGCAATTGTTCATCGTTTTGTCAGGTAAGATAATTAATTTTATTTTTACATCAATCCTCAGTAATATTAGTAGAGAAATCAATAGTGAAATAATTCAAGCCCTACATGACAGCAGCTAGTTTATGCTTATTCTACAGCTTAACTGAATCTTTTTGAGTAGATGAATTTAAATTGTGATTATGTTATGCATTCAGTAAATGATATACAAATGAAAATGAAAACATTTTGATTCTGTCGAGTTAAGAATTTTAGAGAACAATTTCAAAGAAACACGTGAACATGTTATTTGATCATGTAAATAGATTGGAATAAACCATGAACTAAAAATAAGTATTTCTCTGGTGTAGTTTCCATCTCTGAGTTGTATATTTTGGTTGTGAAGCTTTAATTGTTCTTCTAAAACAATATCAGCGCATCAGACAAACAATGAAAGCTCCACAGCTAAAGCATCCAGCCCAATGAACGAAACTTCACCACAATCATCCATCTGAGCTACAAATTGTATCCATCATTTCATAAGTATTTCTATTTGAATCAAAAATTATTATTTTATTAATTTTATGAAAGGCTGAAAAGAATAATCATCTACCACCAGTGATTGTTGTGAAACTCACATTCACATACTTAAATATTCAGTTGATTAAACGAAATTAAACTAGTTTGTCATTTCTAAGGTGGTTTATCTGAAATGTTTTAAAAAAAATATGTTTTCTTCTCTGAAAATAATCTCTAAATTCTTAATAGTTTATAGAAAACTCTTCTGAACCTAGATTTCACACAACTTGGGACTCGTACACAAAACACCTGTCATTTTAAAGGAACTGATACTCCCTGGTAGATTTATTGATCCAACAGTACCCAAAGTCAGGGATGTTACTAGTGAGCGTTTCCAATGGTGATTAAACTCCTTGTAGGTCTTTAAAATGCATTTACAATTAATTAAATATCAAGTCGAGAAGGACTCCACATACAAGCCATTGTTCACTACTCAGTGGTCAATGCTCATTCAGTGATTAGGCATTAGTTTCGGTTAAGAACACAAGTATTTGGATATGATGGCGAAATGTTGCAGCTCAAGTGGCAGCTTTCAATGTTATTGAGTTCTCTGAGCTAGATAGTACTAGGCGATGATGATTTCCTTCAGACTGGCATTTAGAAAACTATACTCAAGAACAGCGAAATACACAGGGATTTTTTTATAGTACATTGATTAGGATTCACAATCATTTTAGTGGCTGAATGCCAGTGTAATGTGAGTAGTTAGTTTAAATTGAACAATGATAAGTAATATCGCTAGTGATAATAGAAATTGTGTCATGAATATTTCTGTTTGAAAGGAAGTTCAAATTTCATTGGAATATTAAAAATGATTAAATTTTCAACCAGTTAATTAAATCACAATTTTTTATTAATTGTTTACAGTACAAATAGAAATTTGATGGTAAATTTACTCACTGTATCTTTCATTTTATTGTTTAACTTAGACTTACTCCAGCTTACATTGTTACTGTTATCGTGTTTACTGGTCTATTAATTCATATGTACGATGGACCATTTTTTCCTCAAGATATAAATTCACCAGAAATAGCGAGTTGTCGACAAAATTGGTATCTTTTGTATTTAAGTAATATATTCAATTATCAAACTAGTGTAAGTCACCAAGATACATATTTGTAATATGTATATAATTCTAATCTATTTAAATACTTCACTGACTAATACGGACCAAATAACATGACCATTGTCTGTATTTATCGATCATTTAATGTGCATACCTGAATTCCACGAGGTATTGTGCGACTCCGTTTAAGATACTATTTTATTCGGGTCCAAATCCCAGAAATAGTATTTGTATTAACACATGGCAATTAGCATGAAACGTGATTCCAAAGGGTTCTGTCAATTACTCCCAACTATATAATGAAGAAAATTGAAATAACCAACCAATCAAATTAGAATTTTCTATATCTCCAATTAGACCGATGATAACTAGAAACAAGTGGGAAGCTGTTACATTGCAGTATGGTACTTGAAGAAGATTATGGACTGAATGACGTAACACGTCAGTACCTTTAGATGCCAGCTCAGTAGTCTAGAGGTTAAGCATTCGTACGTAAGACTGGAGGCTCTCGATTCGATCCATCCTTGAAGTGTCGTTGGGGCGCACTGTTGAAGACGAAACAGCCGTTCAGAACTCCTAGGTTTTCAAAGATGGTCAAACTAAGACCGATCCGCATGCTCAACCATACAAATCATACACTCTCCACAAATCTCCTTCACGAATCACTTATTTATCTATACAACTTTCAAGTCAGTCATGCATAAGTAGAACCTAAAACATGTGTGCATCTGTTCAAATTGTCACACCACATTTGTGCAGTGAGATGTAAATGTCAGGATAATTTTATCAATGTTTTTTATTGTAAATAGTGTATATATATATTATTTAATTCAATAATACTTCATGCCTAATCAGCACCATACTGATATCTGTTTAGTATAACACGCGAAAATATATACATGATCATTGATGAAAATGTTGATTGCACACCGAGCATTATGCATTCTACAGCATATGGTGTATATTGAATCTGTGAATTTTACTTCAAAAAAATATACATTACTCGTTACATCTACTGAGATAAATTATCGCTTAGAACTTTGTCATTATACATATTTATATATATGTATATTCTTAGATGTTTACGTTTTGTATTTTCCAGTGTTTACAATGGTCATGGTATATTGCAAATGATTTACAATATACGATAATTTTGGCTCCAATTTTCATCATTTTACTTAGGTGGTAAGTTGACTATGCTAACAATAGTCTATATCTCCACTGATTGAATAAAACTCAACTAGATTCTATTTCCTTAGAATTTTCCCGAATGATTTAGTATGTCGACAGAGACTAATCATTGAAACAGAGTAGATATTGGAACACTGTGATTGCTCGAAAAACTGAACAGGAGTACATAAAGTTTATGTTTCAGTAAAACTTACTTTAGTTATTGATTTTTGCCCGTTACCCTCAATGCATTATAGGCCCCCTATCAGTATTCTCCAGCCAACTCTGTCCTGGGCTTCCCTTTTCAGTTCTATCCAATTCTTGTTCATTTTTCTCATGTCCGTCTCCATTTCTCAACGTAATATCTTCTTGATCTTCCTCTTTTCCCTTGCCCTTGAGGATTTCGAATCAGGCCTTGTCTTGTGACACAGCTGGGTGCTATCCACAGTGTGTATCTTATCCACTTCCAGAGCTTCTTTCTGAATTACTCCTCCACTGGAATCTAGTTTGTTCTCTCCCACAGTAGAATGTTGCTGATAGTGTATTTTTTTGTAGAAAACTGTTAATGAATACTTGTATCTTCTGGAAGATGGCTTTCGTAGTTCCAGATGTTTTTCAACTTTATAAACGCAGATATTGCCGCTCCGCGACGTGTAACCACTTTCATGCTGTCAAATGCTCATAGTGACTGTAGTTGATGTATGGGAGTGAGCCGCATCCAACTGATTGCTCCACAGTGATCTGTAGTGTTACGGACTCGTCCGCACATGATTGATCTTTACAGAATCCAACCTGTTTATCTGGAAGTTAGGCGTCTATGGAATCTTTTTTTCGGTTAAACAACACTTGAAAACTTTCGCTGGTACCGATAGTAGTGTGATGCCTCGGTAGTTCTCGCACTCTATGAGATCTCTCCTTACTCTGGCCTATTGATGGTATATCCTTCTTTCCAGTCTTTCAGTACTTATTATTCCTCCCAAGTCTTGCAGGAGAGAGCGTGGAGCATTTTGGCAGTTACTTCGATGTCTGATTTGAGTGATACATCTGGCTGTAAATCGAAAAATCACTTTTCATATGTAATGATGAAGAGATTTTAGAAATGGAAATCTATGATTTTATTACGCATGCACGTCAACACGTCATTTGATATGTTTGAACTACTAAGAGTTCCCCCTGGTCGGCGAACGAGAGCGAGGATCGATGATCCGACTACACGACATGCCACTCTAATCCGAGCGTCCCAAAACCCCACTGAATAGATGAAGAAGACTTTGTATGAAGTGAAACGTGTATTTTACAAGCACTCAGAAAGTACGAGGTCCGAGTCCAGAAGAGGCTAAGGATCCCGGACTCAGGGTCCCGGTCATAAAACGTTACAGATAATGCATATTTAAACAGTTAGGTCGAATACGAAATAACATTGAAGTTTGTAACATTGATAGTTAGGACGACCAATAGGAACTGCCCAACAGAATTAGACTTACAAACAATTATCTTAGGATATCTGATGAATACCCTAACAGATTTAGTAACCGAAAACACTTTGGAGAATAGATAGTATCTGCATCTGTATATATATATATATATATATCTTTGTCACGGAACTCACAGACCTTTCAGGGGCATTTTTACCGTAGGAAAGGTCAGTCGATCTTCTGGTTCAAGGTCAAACAACCAAATCTATTGATGCAAATCCTTAAATGAATGAAAATGACCAAAGCGATGAAGTTGAGCGCTGTCATCGAAATGTAAAGATACGGCACCTGTAAGATAAACAATATTCTCATTTCAAAATAAATTATGCTCGAATGATGTTATCCATTCAACTGAGAGAGCACAACTCCACTTAAAAGGCATTTACATAGGCTACAAATCAAATAATTCCTAACTACTTGCTCAAAGACTAATGGTTTATTCATCGAAACACTAATGATACATAAATATATATATATCACAACTAGATGAGTCGAAGGTATCTAAAAATTAACTTAAAACCTGAACAAACAAAAATCTAAATACTAATAACTCAATACTCAGGTCAAAACTTCGTACGTACGAATAGACTACTGACAGAAATGATTTCATTAATATATTCAATAAAAACAAATTATATGCATATGTTCATATAATTTAGAAAAATGATTGAATCACATTAACTTGTATTCAAAAAACCAAAAAAAACTCTTATGTTTATTCTTTGTTCTTTTTTTGTTGTTATAGGAAACGAATTACTGGAATCATATTTGCTATTGCAATTATTCTAATGTCTATATTCATTACTTATTACACTGCATACACTCTTTCACTTCAAATTACCAAGTAAGTTTGGATTGTTCACCTGGTGAATTGCATTGATTTCTTACGAGGATGATTATCAAAAAAACTTTACTGAACAAGGATGATTTGATTTTTATGGTTGAGCACACATAATTATTGACATTAAAAACAGAAAAAATGAAATTGTCAATAGACAGAAGAGAGAAGGTCCTTATAATACGAAAACAATGAATGGAAATGATTGAACTAGAGTAGCGAATAGTGAACGAAACGATCAAGCTATGAAATATACAACTATGAGAATTTCTTTTGAGCTCTTACTTTGAAGAAGTTCAGCGAAAATTACGACTGCATTGTCACTGGCTTCTATTCTGAATGACGTTTGATAAAGGTTTAAGCAACTAAGTGCAGCAACCCCTACAACTCCATCAAACAGTCATGTAAGGTCGACAGATGATAATTCTCTACAGCCTTTCTTCATACCATACCACTATGTCATAAACTAACCACTTCTCTACTTTGATCAATCGATCCCAAAAGTTGATAAATAATGCACGATACGAAATTCACTAGAACCATATTCACTAAACATGTCCAACACACCAAAGTCAACGTTTCGAGATGGGGACACTAATAAATTTAAAGTTACTGCACCCGTTCGCTCACAGTCGAACACAGCACAACCAACGTGGTGTTGACATTGAGTATCACCAATCCTTCGGATAAAACACCGATCTAACATAGACACTGACTTAGCATACTCAATTCAGAGGCCAGGGTTCACGAACTGAAGCACTCTCTGTTTGTTAAACTCGAAGTTGAGTAAGTCAGTCATGCATAACATAAGTTTGCCTCACTACAAATTAGCACAACGAGACGAGAGATTAAAAACTTGAAAGTTAGAATTGGTCTAGATAAGATTAATCGTACCGATTTCACTTGAGAACGACTAACCAGTTGCAAATTAATTAAAGTTTTTAAAGAATATAAAATGTGGGATTGCGTTAAGGAAGAGAAAGAATGAATGAAATTACATCATTGTGACTACATTTGAACTAGATAGCGCTAAGTATCCAACCAATCTGAATCTGTCACTATGAAGTTTGGAAAATTTATAACTTCACGATCGAACTCCCACGCAAAGAAGTACTGCTTGATGGATAACTCTAGTGGCTCACTATTACCAATATGGGTATTGTATATTAGTTTAGTTTACAAACACATAACTATTTGTGAATCATTGATTAATACTTACTTTTAGAGTTAGTATAACATATCTGATCATATCCTAAAGCCTTATGAATCTTGTCTATAATTCACGTAGTTAGTAAGCGGATTCTATACTGTACTGCATTCTCTCTAATATGAAATAAATATGTAATATACACTTCGTTGTGAATTTGATATCAAACACAGAATTGACAACTTAGACCTGATACATGATGAACATTGTTCAATTTAGTGGACTAATTTCATACGTCTCTCTAATAACATATTAAAACTTTGCACAAATACTGTCATACCACTGCTTCGCATAGAACATAATCTCATACTTTGAAAGTTACATCTAGAATCCAAGATTAACTTGCTTTTATTCATAACCCATCAGATAGTTTTGGTTGCATTCGGTGTTGATTTATGCACTGGGCATAGAACCAAAGTTGTTTAACTATTCAAAAAAAACTACAACGTTATTCCCTAAACTTGCAATTACGGATCGAAACCATGCATTCAATAATGAATTTATATCCACATGAGACTATGCTCGGTAGATCTTGGTAGACAAGAAGCATCAGACAGATACTCGGTCTAAGACTAATCTGCTGTATGTAAGATCGAAGATGGTTACTCAATATCGTGAATCGAATGAAGTTCGACCATTAAAGTCTGTCTGAGTTGAAATCGAAATCAGATCGAAAACGCACTGCTGATGAATTCATTACTAGAACGAAACGGTTGTCAAGAGATGCCCGGTTTTCAGTAGAAGTCTAACGAAAAATGATGAAAATTTAACAGTTTCTATTCAATCTTCTATTTTACTAATTGTTCAAAATTCTAGCCAATAATGATTATTTTTGAAGGAAGTAGTTAAACATTTATTTCATCTACACTAATTAATTATTTTAAAATTTATATTCAATAAAATCATATGCAATTTTAATATACAGTGTAGATAAAAATGAGATCTATGTCAAACCGTATACACGTTGTGGAGCATATATGATTGGCATGTTAACTGGTTGGTTATTATATGAATATCCCAGATTTGCAGTGGTATGTTATTGTTTAAATAAACTATTATTATTTATTGAAACAATTTTTCTCATTGAAAATCAAAGTGTTTGAGTTCAATGTCTAGTCTGAATATATAGAGTTTCTAGACAGTTCCTGCTCCAACCATAATCTTCAGGTCTTGGAACAGGCATAACATCATTAAACTATTAATTTGTAGCGATTGTGACACCATAGATGACTAAATTTGAAATGAATTCCAAACAACTTACTTGAAAACCATAACCTATGGATTCTTCCATGTCTGAAATCTGGCAATTCCTTATGAATAACATCAGATTATGTCACAATGTATTATCGACTGATTCAAGCTTGGAATATGGATCAGTGGATTCCAATTTAATAATCTACAGTTAATGTGATTAATTTAATACCCAGTTGTTCTGAAATCGTTATCTTGCTGTGTATTCAGTGTATATCGATGAGAAGTATCCTTTTAGAATTAATCATTTGTCCATCGATTGCCGGTTTTCAATGACCTAACAAATGAGATTAGTTTGAAACAAGAATCAATTGCAAATTAATCCAAACTTCACAAACAGCAAAATAAATAATATAATTGAGTCACTTACCTGAAAATAAATTCTTTCAAGTTTTGTAGAAATTCACAAAAATGGTAATCATTGATAAATGTTACCTTGTGAAAAAGTAACTAGTCAGAAATCTCAAACCTTCAACGTTTCTCCAACCGATGTCAGTCAGTGGAGAAAAACATCTTACATGAATCTTATTTATGAAGTATTGAAGTTTTATCAGTTGAGGTGATTGGGACATATTTTAAAAAATGCCCAACCACCGACTGTCTCAACGAGTGATGGTTTGTGGTGTAGTCGGTGGAAGAAAGCTAGGGGCGGCCAAATCAAAACATGTCAAAAATCCATGAAGTCACTGACAACTGGTTGGGGAACGTGAGACGACAGTAACCGATGGTTAGAAACCTTGAACGACATGGCTCAAAACCGTTTGCAATGGCACATGTGCATTCATTTTTTGTGTTCTCTCAAATCCTAAAGTTTTTAATTCTTCATCACCTTTATCTTTTGCTTTTAAGTTTATTTCACTAGATTCTACTTCTTGAATAATATCTACAAACCAAAATCTCTCTGATTACTACTAATACTTCTACTACCTCTACTACGAAGGGATCTCAAATGACAATTGTGTCTCTGTGCTAATGTGGTATTGCCACTTGAACTGATCTACGTACGTACGAAGTTCTACGTTGTAACTGACTGAGTGAATGAAAAAATATATCGATAAAATGGAATTATCAGTAACTGACTGGGATGAAATTACTACTGATTACGTTAACTTAACGGTCAAAATATTACAACCGGAAAAAAATTTGAACCGTAGACCATATGATTTTTTATTTATCCTTTCTAATGTTCCTTTTTATTTCAATTTTTTTTATGCCATAATTTTGAAGAGAAACACACCAAGAAATCAACTTATCTTTGGATTGATTGGTTATCTATTCTCTGCATCACTTATCATTTTACCAATATTCGTTTCCTATAGTGTATTGAGTGGATTAATAACTGAGACAAGTCGTGGATTAGCAGCTGGTTATTTAGCATTTCATCGTCTATCGTTTACTTTAGGCATTGCCATTTCAGTTTATTTTTGCGCCATAGGATGGGGAAGTAAGTAGTTTATTTAATTTTAAAGTGATATGATTTACTACTTATTTAGTAATAAGTATCCTCCTACCTTGGATCTTACGAACCTGATTGACTAGATCAGTTAGACAATTTATTTCAGGCCTAAATGATAAGCAAGAAATGCTGACGAGTGAACTTCTCAAACGATCAAGATTTGATTGAATTATTCAATGAGCAATGGGCAACATTTGTCTGCAAACGTGGCTTAAATTTAGGAGCAGTGTATATCTTGAGTTGATGAATGATTTGATTACCTCATACACTAACTCAATTAGCTGGTTGGATTAGCATATAGGAAATGTGTATACTACAGCATGAGAAATCTGGCTACTACCGTATAAAAAAGAACCCACTATGTATAGTCAATTCATTTCTGGAAGAATTTCTACTTATATAACAAAACCTTTATTAGAAACCTATCAAAATGTTGAAATTTTTAATGGCCCGGAATCTGACCCCAATTCGAAAGAACAATCAAATACGCTATAAAATAAATCTCCACTTTGATTTCCGTACATTATTCTTAAGCGAACCTCGTTAGTGTGACGGCGTTTATAAAAGTTTATTACGGTTTTGTGGGTGGATGAATGTATTCCATACATTCCGAAGCGAAGGAAGGCAAAGCGGAGAAGGCGAATAAGCCTACTCGATTCGATGAGGCATGGTTAAATATTTATACTCAGACAAAAAAAAATTAGACATGTGATAAGTGAAGCAAGCAGTGCATACTCGCACTTAAATTAAAAACAACCAACGGTTTTAGCGAATAACTGACAAGGTCAAAAGACATGTGAATAAGTTGCAAAAAAATCGGTTAATTAATTTGTCCAAAGACTAGGACAAGCCATATGGCCACGACATCTAAAGTACACACTACAAATTAATCGAAAGGGTAGTAGACATGCCTATCACACCGTGTGTTTGTGCGTGTGTGTTGAGTGTATTTCTGCATGAATTATGATAGTCTTTAAAGTTCAAAAGGAACAGACACATTTTTTTAAAGTTTGTCCATTTCCCAAGAACTGTAATGTACGGCTGGATATTATAATGTTGAAAAGCCCAGGCGATGATATCCTATACAATATTTAACGGAACCGAAACAATGATTAGACTACACTTTACTGATAAACAAATAATCAGCCAATGATCAAACTAGCAAACACAACTTTTGACAATCATGTTTAAGATAAGAATATCATAATCATAATCTAAATAACAAATATTTTCACAACATACAACTTTACTGATTTTTCCTTCCGTTTCTTTTTTCTCAGAGCCTATTCACTACGTATTCTCAAGGTCTGCATTTCGTGTACCAGCTCGTCTTACTTATTGTGCTTACTTAATGCATCCTATTATTGTGACTATATTCATCAATGGTACACAAACCCCATTGATCATTGATCAATTAGAAGTTGTAAGTGATGTAGTGAAATGAAATGTTTACTATTTCACTAATTATCTTCAAATAAAATAGAGTTATTTAAATTTTTTTTAAAAAAAAAGATACTGTCTGTAGTCGTAAATGAATATAAATTTAAGAAACAGGCTTACTGACAAATGGGATATATTTGAAGTTTTGTACAATTTAACAAATGCACGATTGTGTTGTGTATTTTCTCCAATTGAATTTCTCATATGAGAACAGCTTAAAAGTTCAATGCCATTTCAATTCATAATCATTATTATGAAAACATTCACCTTGATCAGTAGTCGAAACTATTTTCCAGAAATAGTTTTATTCGAGAGATATTAGCATTAATCCACTCACTACTCTAACCGAATAAAATACATTGGACATTCGAATATACAACCCAAAAGAGTACATGAAAATTTGTTAACTAAAAAAAAAATCCATGACGAAGCTCTTCATAGTTAAATATTATTGATTTACTTGACAAGCGTTTTTCTACAGGTTCGCAATCTAAAAATTCAGTTAATGTTTGAACGTGAAGAAGATCATTGGAAAATACGAGAAACATTATTACGATTAATCAAAATTTATACAAGTGTTTTTATATATTTTAAAGTCAGCCGATCAAACTCAAATAGTAGAACTGAATAGGCACTCTGATGATAATAACATTGATCATCAGGTAAGGCGATTTTGTAGCGACTGAGTGGACAGAAAAACTATTACGTTCTCAAATACAATTTGAAATTGTCGAATTTAATATTTATTAGATAGATAAACAACACATTATTTGAATGTTTTAGGTTTACAAAAATAACAATTGGTTGAAACTTATTTGTAAAGCTTTATTTCGTCCAGTTATACGCACTAAATACTGCAAGCTACCAGTTTGTTTTGGTGTATTTGTTTCCTGATGAGTAGACTAGTTCGATTGCACTATTAAGTCACAAGCGCAACTGTAAGCTAAATTTAATGTTGGCAAGTAGTGAAACTCAAGATTCACGTTTGCGACTCGTTAGCTAGGTGTCTCTGCATCTTACTGTTGATATTCACACCAACAGCATAGTGCTGTGAGCTAATCTCAACGTTTACTCATCACGATGTAGATTCGCATGTTTGCTTACCTGATCGATAGATGGGACGATAGCACAGAAGGCTGATAACTTCTATTGTAAATTTCACTGCATAAATTAAAAATTGACTTCACAGCAGCATAAATAAGAAAATTAGAATGAGCATATTACTACGCTATAAGTAGATAGGACTCTGCAGTAGGTCTGTAATAAATTAACAGTAGATTAAGAAATGCATAACACACATAATAACAGTTTATTTATCATAATAAAAAACAACTTATAACTAAAGGAATACTAATTTAAGTATGTAATAAATACTAAAGCTTCTCTCACTAATTAAACTACAAATATCACAAAACACAATGTCATTGAAAGTATTATATATATATGTTATGTAAATAGTAGTATTACTACTACTAATAATAATAATAATAGTAGTAACGATAATATCTTTTTAATTTTCAGGTTCGTCTAACAGCTTCAACAACTGTAATGAGTTATATCGTAGCGTATATTCTCTCAATGACAAGTGAATATCCTATAAATACATTAGAGAAATATCTATTACATTGAAGATTTATCAATCATTGTTTCATGAAAAAATTTATTAAACATGATATTTTGTCATTTGTTCATTGTCTCCATTGGTTACACTACTAACATTATTTTGTCATTCATTTTTTTATACATGTACAACTTTCATTAAAAAAATTGAAAAGAATATTTTCATTAAAATCTCAAATTTAAAAAAATAATTACAAAAGGACTTTGAGTTTTGGATTTCACTGCTAACCACATTTTTTATTAACTAGTGATGCAATGGCTATATCAAGGTAAGTCGAATGAGATGGGCATTTAACATTCAAGAATGATTAAATTTCAGTTAAAATATCAATAACGGGATTTATCAGACCGTTTCAAATCGAATTGATACTTATTGTAAAGTTTGTATTTCTCTCTACGCCCACCACACAACTCAGATTAAGGAAATATAATTAGCCTGACCACCATATGTATTAGTCAGCAATCAACAACTGGCAGCTTTCTTTCGGTCACACAGCAATTATTTCAAAAGAAAAACAACCATTGAAAACCAGGGAACATTCGATAGCTGTTCTACTCTAGTACCAAGTCTCTTTAACATCTATGACCACACTGGGGATTGAAGCCACAACTCTCCCACCCCACTAAGATCATCTAACCTTTAGACCACTGAGTCGGTACCTTATGTTTACATTTCTAACTTCAGTCAATTTGTAGAACGTCCCCTACTAGGAGACAAACAGGTTTCCATTGCTTATTAGTTTACTAAGGTCAGTAAATTATGAAAACGTGTTACTATTTCGCTTACTTTAAGTATAATCAACTTTATAACAAATACTTACATTCGCAGTCTAATTCTCGAAGTGTAGTTAGATTTATCTCCACTCCAGAAATTCAGAAGCCAAATATGAGTTGCGCTAGAATTCATTGTTTCTAAGAATAAGTTAACTCAATAGACTGTGTCAATCAACCAGCTTTGAATAAGTTTATCATAAATTAATGATTGACTGCGTTCATAACCAATAGTAGAATAGATGACAAACATGCACATACACTGTTAACTAAGTAATTGAATCACACAAATGAACTAACAGCAATACACAGACCTTGGTTTGACTTTTTTTTTATCTATTTCTGGTAAGTTAGATTACGTGTGTATATAATTAGAAATGTCTAGCTATGTAATGAACGATCTCTAAACACACATTATACTAAATCATTACAGCATTCGATAATTAATTCTATTGTTTCCTAATATCTGTTAACTTGGATAATTATCGTTGATGAGAAATATGATAACTAGTAAAAATGAAAAGAAATTCAGCAATATATTTATTACGCATACACTTTAAATAAATTTAGTGGTCTCCCTAAGTAATCATATGGCCGGAGCTGAACAGTTAGTAATAATTTGTTAAGCAATTGAATAATAATACAGTGGATCGGAATGAAGAAATGCACATTACTGAAAGTTGATCATATGAAGATCACTCTAGCACAAATAATTTGAATGTTCAGTCCTACTCAAATTCAACAAAGTCGAAACAATAAATGTGAATTATTTCAAGTATGTTTCAGTAACTAATTAACTAACTAGAGCTGTTGAGTCCGACGAAAACAGTCAAAACACAAGAAACTATAGACATTGCAAACGACTGAAAAGTCAGTATTTAGGGTTGTTCAATAAACAAAGATCAAACAGTATCACTTCCAAATAAATACTTACAAAGTTGTCAGTTATTCATTGACCAAGGCAGTTGGATTATGTGATACAAATGTCACAAATCTAATTTAATGTAAGATAGTAACTAGCTAGACGAAAAGTATACTCAAAGAAGCCTACAGCCTGATAAATCACATCAATCCATCATGTCAGCAGTTGTATCGCGAACACTACAAACTTGGTCCTCGAAGACGTTGTATGACAGTTAATAAAGGATCGCAGTGGCACAGCCGTATTCAGTCCCTTATATTGATCTACATATTCTACTGTCATTCTATGCATTCCGAAACCAAGATATTCTTTCACCCAAATTTCCAAAGCTTTTTTTCTTCATTCCCATGTCCTTGTTTCACTCTTATCAATTCTCAATGTTAATATAAACTGAAAACTTATGTCAAGTCTAACGATGCTTATGGTGAAAATTATTTCGACTAGGTCTGTAACGCACTTCACGATTGAATGATTCAACACAACAGCATACAGTATTTACTGTTTTTTTTTAATTTGCCAAAGTCGACAAAAACAATTGTATTGAATCTTCGACTAATTTTGACGTTCGAAAACATTACTCTAAAAATTAAGCAACTTTACAATGAAACCATCTGTAGTGTGTGTCCAATACACAGGGTTCGTCCACTATTCTCAAGCAATTATTCACTCGTCTTTTCACCTTGTCAGTCATTCGCTTATATCCTAGTTGCTTTTATTCGAGTACTATTGTCTGACTATAAACACTAAGTCATACTTCATCGAATTAAGTTGGCTCATTCGACTTCTCCAATTCACTTTGCTTGTATCCATCCTTTTCATTATCATGTATGCATGAACGATTATTTGAAATAAACTGATCCAACCAAATTGGTAATTGACTTCTTATTACCGCTATTGCACAAACGGAATTCCCCCAAGTATGGATATACGGAAATTGAAGGGAAGATTTATTTCATAGCATATTTAACTGTTCATAAATAGTGGAGTCAAATATACATGGGCCAGTAAAGTAGTGAGCCCTTATATCGAATCTAACACAGTCATATTATTATTCTTCAAGGATAAATAATGATTTGTCTTATTTTTCGACTGATAGTCATTTGAATAGTAAAAAATTCCATGTTTCGAATAGCAAATAAAACAATAGAAAAATGGAACACAAATGTGATTACACGGATAGAACAACTTGAAAATAAAATACAATTATATTTCAATTTTTAGAAAATAATTATACATTTGCAGAATAAGAAGAAGTAAAGAGAAATAAAATCTGTTGAAAGTTGAACATGTTACAACTACTACTACTACTACCACTACTACTACTCAAATAGCATCTGTGTACGTAGAAAAAACAACAACAACAAGAATAACAACAAGTAACCAAAAACAAAAAACAAAAAAAAACCGCACACATTTTTACAAGGAGAAGAATTTTTATTAATAATGAGTACAAAAAAGAAATTCAATCGATTTCAATCGTTTCATTGTTATACAGTCGAGACAAGCTGGTACATGAGGATATTCTAATATTATTACTACTACTAGTAGTAGTAGTATCAGTAGTAGTAGTAGTAGTATTTATAAAATGTGAATTATTCAATGGAATGTGAGTAGTAGTAGTAGTAGTTTTTGTTTTTGTGGCGGTTGGTATATTTTTTATTTTGAATGGTGCAAAAGTGGATGAACAAGAATTCATATGTACTATAGATGAACATTTATAAGAATTATTAACAAAATGTCGACTAGACTGTTTATGTATTTTATTTGTAATTAATGCAGTGGTATTTGTACTGACAGGATAACCATGTATAATATGTGCAGCACTGGCCATTTGACTAAATGTATCACATCGATATGCATCATATCGTGTGGCTACTGTTAACACTTGACTAGATTGTCTAGTCTCTTGAATTATTGGTGTGGAGAAAGTAAAATGATGATTATTATTGTGCATGAGATGAGGAGGATTCTTCCATTTTGGTCGTTGTTCTCGTAGTATAGAAGTAGAACAACTTGTCGGTGGTAATGAAATGTCATCATCAAGTAGATCAATTGTTGTTGTTGTTGTTGTTGGCGGTGGTGCTGGTGGTGATGGTGATGCTGCTGCCACTGAAGAACATGTTACAGGAACATCGATGGAAGTGTTTGAAGCAACGATATCATTTTTAATTGTTTCATTTCGTCGATAATTTTTTACAATAGATCCTTGTGATACATTGACAGTGGGAGTGAATTCATCAACACCAATCATTGATGCAGAATTTACAGAATTTGAAATATTAGGGGAAAGTTTCGCTGATTCATTTTCATCAGAATCTGAACTTAAAGTGAACACTTCATCGGATGTTGCTGGTGAATTAAGAGGTTTGTCACTTTCACACTGTTCAGTGTCAGTTGAAAAACAAGCCGCATTAGAGACTGAAGCCTCCTCATTGGAATTCATCACATCAGACTGAGGAGTAACATGATTTTCAACTTTAGTACTACACTCAGGATCTTCGATAATTTGTTGAACAGTTTGAATAGTATGTTGCAGATCGATATAATGTTTGAATACCTACAAAAGTGTAAATAATATACTAAGCATCATGAAAAGCATTAATTAGAAGCAACATTATGAAAAACAAACCTTATTACTATTTTTAATTTAAGTAGGCTGAATTTATATTTTTGTCAAATAATTATGAAAACCACAGAGACAAAAGTCTATGGAGAACTTCACAATAAAATTTTCCACTAGCAGTGTATAGTACCATATACAGACGAATAGACGATGCATATTTGTTTTAGTTAAGAAACACATATGATCATTAATCAGAGATTTTCTCTATGCAACGAACTGTATCTGAAAGATACAGACACAATTTTTTGTACATCCACATTTAATCGGTTAGACAAAAAGAAACTGATACACATCACATCATTACAAAAAGACGAAAATCAGAAATCAATTGTTGCAATATCGATGACAGTTAACAAGATTAGATATATCTAAGCTGAATTCGATGAGGAACAACGAGAAGATTGTCACCTTTATCATGAGCAATGAATGTTGAATCAACAAACCAATTCAGTCTTCAATTGCAGCATAAAAGTAATCCAATTGGTCCTAGCGAGTTTTGTCGATTAAAAAACTCTAGCATTTAACAAACACAAAAGTCAATGTATTGAAATTTTTGTTTTCTGATAACAATTATGCATGTTTTTTGTGAATATTTAGTACGAATTGCAATAAACTCAAAAAAAAAACGTTGATACACAATAATTAAGTGAACTACTACTACTCATCATTAAATTATTACATAGGAATTAAATATTAAATTTGTCAATCACCTTGTTTAGATTATCATCACCGAGACGTTTATTTTCAGTAAGTTTTCTTCGTAGATCACGACTAGAATAAGTTGGATCATCATCATCACTTGAATTGATAAGTGAGAGAGAATAATAAAAAGGATAAAAATAATGATTATTAATTTGTTTTTGGTGAATTACATGAACAAGAAAAAAAAAAGTGACAAGATATACAAATGAATCAACCAATCAATCAATCAATATCACACTGGAAAACGTTAACAACTTTCTCTTCATTTGCTTAGCTCAATTTAATTTATAATATTTCAACTCGTTTTTTAAAATTTTCACAGCGTTTTATAAAATTTTTTATAATCCTTAAAATGTCAGAAGTGAATAGTCGGTCAGTTGCAACGTAGAACTTCGTACGTATGTACATAAGTTCATGCTGCCATACCACATTACCACAGAGATGCAAATGTCAAATCAAATCCCATAGTGATAGAGATAGTAGAGGCATTAAAGGTAATGAAGAAGACTAGGGTTTGAAGATATTATTCAAGAAGTATAATTCAGTGACATAAGGTTAGAAAGACAAAGGTAGAGTTGCTGACGAATCCAGAAGATTAGGATTTGAGAGAGCACTTGGTGACTTTCGTCTCGCGAACCCCAACCAGGTAGTCTACATCTACCAACATGACTCAGTCCACTTGTCAGTGGTTTCATGGATTTCTGCCATGTTTTGGTCTGGCCGCCCCTAGCTTTCTTTCAACCTACTCCTAAACCACAAAACATAGGTCAGAAGTGAATATGGAAAAACAATTTGATTCCAAATGAAAAAAAAAACGAAAAAATATCCTCAGAAAAAAAGGTTTTTGAAGATGGTTACAGTGTTAAAGATGCGGTATTTCTTGTGGTGATGTGAATTACCAAACCGTTGCAAATGTTATCAAGGTTATATGAAAATTGCATTTTTATCCTTGATGCTGTATAGATCCATGTCTCCAATATTACCAAAATTTTTTTGATGAAGGTTATGTTTTCGTCTCCTTATTGTTATATGTTCAATCCATTCGGATTTGTATTTTCAAAAATTAAATGTATTGTAAGAAGGTCACAACTGGCAAGCGGATTTAATGAATCATTTACAAATCTTATATGCATTAAATTCTGTAAATCAATTAAACTCAAAAAATGATTTATACAAGGTTATTCGAGACATATGCGTCGCAATTGTTTAAAAGCCATTGCTAAAGAAAATTTTAATTAAAAAATAGTTCATCTTTTTATTTTTTTAAAAACCCAGACAAAATTTTAAAACAAATTTTTGGTTATTTAAAAAAAACCCTGTTAAAAATTTAAAAAACGAGTTGAATTACTACATCAAAGTGGAAATTTAAACTTATCATTATAAAATTAAACGTATTAAATATATTTACAATTTTCTTGGAAATTAAGGCCGAACACAGTGTAAATGTGATTTTATTGAATACAAAATAAACAGAACACATCTTCCGTAGATTGATGCCAACATTTGATTGTACTACTGCAAACAACAAGCAGCTAGTTTATTCGATACAAACAAAAACAAATACTGCTAAAATCACAATAAATGTACGATACACAACAGGGGAGAATCAGACTAGGCAGAGATTGAAAGAACAAATAAATGGACGAGAATATGACTAAAAACAATTTCCCTCTGGTTGATAGAGTTCTTTTGAATTCATATAATGTAAGAGGAAACTATGGCAGAATCGTAATTGGCTACTATTCTGAGCCATGTCTGATAACATATTAAGCGATTGAGTACCAGCAAAGAGTCATGAAAGATCGCCCCGGATGCCAGTCCTGTAAAGCTTTCTACCATAGCACCATAATATTATCATAGCCCGACCACCTCTGCCCATTTCTACCAACCATTCTCAATATCGACATGAAAACATATCATGGAAGTCTCTAGGATGACAATCGTCACACGTTACCGACGCATTGACGGTCAACGGTTGGACAAACGGAGTGTTAGTTATGTCGATAACTAACCAATCAAATCGTGGTTTAAGCGTCCACCACGTAATCTGGTCTGACGTATCTGTAAACTACCTTTGTTGTAAATGACCTACTCATTAAAGGACATTATTATCTTATTATATTGATGTGATTCATAATTTCATTCATTTCCATAAGACAGGCTATATCAGTCGGTATGTTAGCTCGTTTCACTTCATAACTGTAATTTCCTTAATTATTTGTACTAATCTAATTGTTTTTATGTTTAGAAAGAGATAAAGTTTAAAGCAAAATTGGTCTTGTTCTCACTATGACTTTCCCATAGACTCTGTACTCGCCAATATTGCGTTCACAGTTATGGCAGTACATCTGTAGGACGAGTTACATCCTACAGGGAGTTCGCATATCCTCAACTTATAAAGGCCAGGGCTTTACAAGTACAGAGTAGAGCTGCTTACACAAAGCCGTTGTAGACTTAACTTATTAGTCAGATTGACATCATGACAGCGCCAAAATGGCCTAGATTGGTATAAGTCGGTCTGATTTTTTAATATACGTAGATTTATCTCATCACTCACACAACTACCTAGATACGTTAACTTTTAGTCTACTTCAAAACACTCAACATGAAGAGTGAGTCCTGGTGTTGGCTCCCGCCAGCCATGTAAAAATACCTTTCATTTAGGTAAAACGTAAATATCAAACCATACCTACGGACGCTAACTATTGTACTGAAAGACAACATCAGCATACTCAAGATTCGAATGTGTTATAAAGAAGAGAGTATTGAAGACAATGAAACACATAGGATGTAAATCAACCCAGCGTTCATAACACTTTCGCCAGGTAGCTGATCGACACCATCATTAAACTCATCCATGAAAGCTGTCTGAAGAATTTTACTGATCGCAAAACTAAAGAGGAATAGTACGCTTCGACAACATTGTCTAACCGCCACTGCCGAAACGGAGCAACAGAAAGAGGTGGTCATACTCTAATTGTGATGAGAGATGACAGTGAACTCACATCCTTTCTCAACAGACAATTCCAGAGAACAGTCCTGTCCAACAAATCGAACGATGGTCTGATATTAAGAAACAAGACTGTAAGTCTGCCAAAAAGCATTAACTTTTATCATATGAAATATAAGAACTAAAATAATTTGAATTCACTAAACAGACATTCAAATGCTGCCAAACATACCATAAATCATCTGTTAAATGACATCCAAAATCATGCCTTAAATCGTCTTGACGTCGTTGTTTTAATGAATGTCCAACATCGATAAAGATTTCACGTGCTAAAGATTTAACAGCTGATCCTCTAAACATACAATAATAAAAAAAACCCGTAAACTGATCATATTATATACAAAAATATGTACAAATTTTTCGAACCAAGATGCTCGCTAACAGTTTATAGTTTCGATATGAATGAATGCAACTCATATACTAAACACAGGTTTATGAACTCTACTTTGAACAAATTTATAAGAGGAATTGTGATTCCATTCGTTCCTTGAGTTTTAAACACTATCCCATCTTCAGATAGATTGATAAAATTTCTAGTGTAAAACAGTAACCAATAAAGTTAGCCAAGTTTGAAGCTAATTAATAACACACACACACACATTGTGTTGGGATAAAGATCAACTTAAAATACAATTTGACTGAATCCGAAAATATGGGCCAATGTATCATATAACACGGTAAATTGAAATGCACTTTACTAACAGTGGTAACTCGAAATTCTGGCCTTGACAATTAGTAAGATTATGAGAGCTCACTACTACAAAGTATCAAACTAAAAAGTACACGTTGTTCAATCTTTAACCTAAATGATTACTAAGAAGTAGTAATCATTATTCGGTCTCTTTAGTATTTAACAATCCTGACTGAATTCCATCGATCAATTTGCGATATAACTGGTAGGACAAATGACTGAATATCCAAATGAACAGCTTTCTAAAATTTGATTGTTAGAGGGAATCGGGGAAGAAGCCTTGTACTTACATTTTGTGTTAGTTGTCATTCGTCAATAAGAAGCATTATATATATATATATATATATATATATATATATATATATATATATATATATGGTTCTCAATAATTGTTAAACCGATGCCGGTTCTTGATGAAAATAAAAATATAGATTTGGAAACAAAATTTATCAAGATAATCATAAAAATAATATTGTACATTTATGAACAATGGTATTTACGGTAAATTCAGTTGTTCTTCCTTATTTACAGTAGTAACTATTCGATAAATATCAGTCCAATCAGGAAATAATCTTTTCTGATTAACAATCTCTTCAATTTTTTCATTCACTTTTGGATATTGGCATCCTGTAGAATAAAAAGTATAAATTTTTAATATAAATAAGTAACATCATATTTATTGCATTTATATTAATTAACTTGTTGTAAGAGTAAAATGAAATTCTACTGTACAGTATATTTATTATCAATAAACAAGACAGTTTAATGGACCGTGAGCCATAGGAGAAATGCAACACACATGATAGTAAGTACTAAAAGAGTTTGACAGGAGTGAGGCAGTTACCCACCGAAGTCAATAGAAGATGGTTCCATAACATCGCGGAGTGATTGAAGTTAGACATTAAAAACCGTTGGACGCCAACTAGATGGTCTAGGGGTTGAGCGTCTGCACGAGGCCGAAGGTTCTGAGTACGATGCCCGAGTATTGTGTCGTGGGTGCGCACTGCTGAAAAGTCTCATAATAGGACGGAACGGTCGTCTATTGCTACCAGGTTTTCAATGATGGTCTAATATTGCGACTATCTTCTAACCAAATTACTACCGTAATCTTTTCAAGAGACTATCACCATTCATAGGGTTGCACTACAATAGATCAATGTTAATATGTGTTATGTTCGTCACTAGGTACGCTTGAAGCTATTACGAGTTCACCTTATTCGACAAACGCGAATGAGACAATTACCAGCGTCCAGGTAGGCTACCTTGAGTCACAAACTGCAAAACAGAAGTCTTGATAGGCGTAGAAAGTATATTCTACAACACCCAGTAATCACAATGCAATTAAGCATACAACTCTCTTTTACTTACACATCATAGAAACGTCCTTGGGACAGTTACGAAAATAGCACACTAAAATACACAGTAGTCAATCACAGCCATGGATTTTCCTGGTGGGAAATGAAACCGCAAGGTCAACTGATCAGCCCATGCTCGCAAACGTGAAATCCAAACTAAGGCATTTATCAAGCAAGTTCTGGGGATCTAACATTACCAACAATATGGTAAACCTTATTCTTGAGGAGTGACGGTTTAGTGTTTAAAGCATTTAATTTTAAACTGTTAAATACATATGTTGATACAGAAAAGATGGAGTGTAGCTGGCGGCGGAATCCAGGACGCGCATCCTGAATGAATCGAGTTATATTTGCCGATTTATGTAAACTCTTTAAGATGAACAACCTACGTTTAATCCGTTTAAAATTGTTTGAAGATGATAAATTTAATTGTAATAATGGTAGTAAAAGGCATATATTACTGAATAAAGAAGTTTACAAAGTGAATCGAAGCATAACCAACTAATGACATACCATTATATGTAAACCTACGACGTAATATTCGTCCAGATTTTCTAGCAACATTTCGCAGTTCACAATGTCGACGCCATGCTTGCAAATATTGGCGCTTTAAAACATCCAATTTAAGGTAAGGTGAATTGGATGAATCCAATTCGTCAAGATCAAGTTCTTTTTCTTCCAATTCTCGAATAGCTTGAGAAAGACGCTAATTTGGTTAAATAGTTAGAAATAAAGGATGAGTTTAGTACAACCAAAGGACTGTAAAGGGTGTGACGAAACCAGTTGGAAAAAAGGACACTAACAGTAAACAAATCTATGTAGCACAAACTGGTCCCAACAACACAACTGGCTCCAAAATATTTTCAACTTATAATTATAAATTGGACTATTTTTAATCCACATATAAATTAAGTGTAATTCAGTCCCGTCATATTTTGGCTTTCGTTAACTACTTCTTCATGATTGATTGAGTGAAACCAAAACTACAATTGAGGCGGCATAATAACATGAATTTATTTTATTTCGTCATTTTCAAAAACTCTCCACCTCGTCAGCGAAAAAAGCATCTAACAGTCTAAAAGATAGCTTCGATCATTCATAAAAGCCTGAAAATTTGGAATGTTTTGCATAAACTTAAGGTATCATTTCACTTCACTTCACTATTTACAGTGATCCTTTCGAAAGGAACTGTAGATACATATAATATATATATATATATATATATATATATATATATATACTCACCCAGTAGAGAATTCAAAGTTTCCGCCCATAGTCACTAAGGATAAACGGCCTCACTTTAACAATGTGATACATCACTAAACCGATTGGTTCGCTCCAGGTAGAATCATAGGTGCGATTTCGGCTGACATTATACGGAACTTAAGATAGACAGCATGCAATCGACAAAACGACATTATGCTGTATATATGTGGATGACACGTATATGGTCTGAAACACTGAATCGTTCAATATGCCTACTCAATCTATTCAAGAAAGCATACAATCAAATTAAGTTTCCTATAAAACTTGAACTCTGCCTGGAACCCTTCTAAGTTTACTGTTGGTCCCAATCCTCTATGGAGTAACGTCTATCATGGGGTGAACAACCCCGCTCCGTAAAAAAACAATCTTTCTAAAAAAATACTAACCAGAAGGATTACTTGAACTCCGCCCTGGGAGTTTGAAAGTTTCTATGTAGAGGTGTTATGACGCTTAATGACGGAAACCGAGTTCCTCCGGAAGTCTTGGGACCAACACCCCTTATAAAAACCAGAGCACCAATTTACATTGGTACACGAAATGTCTGCACAATGTGAGAGACCAGGAGGACGATTCACATAGTTTCGGAAATGAGAAGGTAAAACCTAGAAGTTTTTGGAATAAGTGGAACCCATTGAACATAATTTGGACAGAAACGATTAGCTTTGAGAGAAGTGCTGCTGCACTCTGGACATGAAGAAGTTGCACTGATGCTCTCCAAAAGAGTATGAAAAGCGCCAATAGAATAGGAATTTCATGGATCCAGGATCATCAAAGAATCCTTCAAAACAAGGAAAGAGTAGATAACAACGAATGTTGTCGAACGATATGCGCCCATCAATGACAGTAATAGAGACGATAAAGGTTATGCTCGTCACTACGTACGCTTGAAGCTATTACGAGTTCACCTTAGTCGGTAAATACGAACGAGACAATTACCAGCGTCCAGGTAGGCTACCTTGAATCCGAAACTGCAAAACAGAAGCCTCGATAAGCGTAGAAATTGTACTCTACAACACCAGCCAGCACACAATGAAAATGTGTATATATAGGATAATCGATACTGTAATCGAATTATTCAAATATAAAATTATGGTCAATACAGTTATCGATCAATTCAAACGAAAGTACAATCAATGAATGATGAAACGCTACAATCTCAGGGTCAACTGATCGCTTTGGAATTGTGTGGAAGTAAATTGAGAGCCATTGTCAGATACGACCACATCTGATATGCCATTTTGCGAGAAAATCTCAGTTGGGAGCTTCATTGTCTTAGTTGGAGTGGGCGGCATAACGGGGCTGATTTCTGGTCATTTTGAGGCGTCGACCATAAATAAATACATAGTTCCATTAATTGGACCAGCGAAGTCGTCATGTATCCTGAATCAAGGATGTTCAGGTTTGGGCCATGAAACCGGCGGAATTTTGACATTCATCTTTGCCGCCTGCTGACACCGCATGCATTTTTCAACCAGGGCTGTGACATGTCGGTCCAAGTGAGGCCAGTATGCGTAAATCCTGGCTATGGACTTCATTCTTTTAACCCCTGGATGGCCAAGATGGAACTGTCTCAGCACTTTTGCTTGAAGGGATTCTGGCATCACTACTCTCACCAACAAATCAAACAATCGTTCACGATGCATAGTGAATCGCGCCGCTGATACAGTTGCTTCATGTCACCCTCAAACTTCTTCGACGGCCAACCGTTAGTGACATATTTCATCGTCATCTTGATGATGGGGTCGTTTCTAGAAGCATTTTGTATGTCTGTTGCAGACACCGGTAACGCGCGAACTGCGGTTGTCAGATAACATTCTGCGTGGTCTTCTAATGACAGAGATGCGATCACCATGTTTTCCTCAGCCGCCACTTGATCATTAATGAGGCGTGACAAAGCGTCTGCTTGACCGAATGGTAGAGTGCGTCGATATCGGATTTCGAAATCATACCCCAAAAGTACCGAGGCCCATCGCTGAAGACGATTTGCAGAATGGGCCGGAATGCCAGACTTTGAACCAAATAATGCTAGCAGAGGCTTGTGATCTGTGAGGAGCGTGAATCTCCGACCGTACAAAAACTTATGGAAACGGCGAACAGCGAACACAAGAGCAGGAGCCTCTTTCTCTATCTGGCTGTACTCCTTTTCTGCTGGGGTTAGTGTACGGGATGCATGCATAATGGCTTTTTCTGACGCGTCTAGAAACTGATGTGAAATAACAGCACCTAGGCCATATGCTGAAGCGTCTGCTGCTACGGTGATTGGCATGGATGGATCGTAGTGTGTTAATAACAATTCCGAGCTTATTATGGACTTGAGTTTACCAAAAGCCGCGTCGCATTCTCTATTCCAGTTTCATGTGCTATGCTTCTGCAGTAGACAATTCAATGGAGCGCGAATATCATGCATCGAGGGAAAAAACGCTGAATAATAACTGATTAATCCGAGAAAAGATCGTAATTCCGAGACATTAGTGGGAGTGGGTATCAGTTTGATAGCTCGGATGTTCTCAGGATCCGGTCTGCGACTGTCAGCATCAAAGATGAATCCAAAATACTTTACCGACTGCAATAGAAACTGGCATTTCTCTGGGCGTATCATTTGGTTATCAAATCTGTGGACTTTCAATGTCATGCTTATAGATGGCACCATTTCCACCGAAAAGTACTAGCAGAGTGATATTATTAAGTGTGAGTACTACAGAGGTATTAAAAAACTACGAGTGCCAGCCAATTTTAACAGTTGTTGAACAGAACAAAAGATTCAGACATCCAACTTCGAGATCCACAGGCTGGGTTAGTTATTTACAGACAGAGTTGCGACATTACGAATCACTGCTGAACAATCAATTAAGTGAACCTCAAAATTATACATCAACTTCCTTGACTATGAAAAGCACTTGAAAGATATCTTACCTTCGCCACAAGTTGATAAAACCCACGTTATCTTTGTAAATTCTTCAACTAGGTTGATCAAATTTCAAAGATAAATGTAGTGGTCGATTCGCTTAACTAGTTCGCGATCCGTTATCAATTCAGATGACATGTACCAGGACTGAAGTAACAACTATTATTTATTCTAATGACAATGCAATAAATACATACACTCCGCATTACAGTTCAATCAAACTATGGCAAAATTTCGTTTACATATTGCATCGACACTGTGAATATATCAAGGTAACCAGAAACCATTACTAACTATAATACAAAAATACATGTGACTGAAATCCGAACACATGAACTGGTTACTTAGTAAATAGGTTAGATTATTGTTTAAAGCTGATAAATGTGTCATAAATATTCTATGAATAAGATTGAAATCATAACATTCTGTCTTGAATGCTCAAAATAACTGAGAAAATAGTGTGATCTATACAAAAAAGATTATTATTAGTAAAGAAATATAAGACAAGATGAAACTGAAACACAAAAGTTACTCACTGTCATAAGATGTTCTAAACGGCAAATTATCCTATATCTTTTATCATTTTGAGCATCACCAAAATCTTCATCATTTCTACGAGCATATTTTTCTTTTGGTTCGTCATTTTCTGATATTGAATTCTTTGAACTATCAAATGATGACTGAATAGGATTTGACAATGGTTTTTTATTATTTGAAGAACTCGGTGGGTCAATGATTATCACATCATCATCATCATCATCACCGATATGATTATCGGAACGGTGATTAGAGGAATCATGTGATTTAATATGCGGACTTTCATCATCTGCTAAAGAATCTTAAAACAAGGAAGCAATAGCAGAGTGATGAAGGAAATTTGAAACTTGAGAGGATAATTTTGGTGAAGTTACGTTTATTAGGACATAATTATCTTTTAGATTATTTGAAAACATAAGTATTAGCAAAAAACAGCATCAAAATAAATATTCAACACACAATAAGAAAGTCAGTAAGGTGGTTTGGTTCTGTTCGAATATAGGTGTCTTCAAAGCATTGCTCGTGTATCCTAGGACAACCGAGTAAGCAATGCTGTCGTTAGGAAACGATTACAAGATAAGGATGGTAGATCAATTAATGAAGTATTGAAACTTCATCAGTTGAGGTGGTTGGGATATGTGTTACGTATGCCCAATCCCCGACTGCTCGACGAGTGATGTTTTGTGGTGTAGTAGTAGTAGGTTGGAGGAAAGCTAGCGGCGGCCAGACCAGAACATGGCATAAATCCATGAAGTCACTGACAACTGGAGTGAGTCATGTTGGTAGATGTAGGCTACCTGGTTGGGGTCTACGAGACGATGGTAAACGATGGTTAGAGACCTTGAACGACACGGCTCAAAGTTGTTTGCAATGACGCAGGTGTATCCACTCTTTGTATTCTCTCAAATTCTGATCTTCTGATCTTTCTACATTTACCTCGCCGAATAACACCTAGGTCATCACGATAGACAAGCCCGACCACCACGTCAAAGCAGCAGCTACGGTCGGGAAACAATAAGAAAATGAGATCGTCAATAGACAGAGGGAGGAAGGTGGGTATCATAAGAAAACAACGAATGGAGGTAGTAATTAGTGAAAGAAACGAATTAACTACGAAAGATCTAACCAGGAGAATTCTTTCAGCTCTCACTTTGAAGAAGTTCAGCAGGAATTACGACTGCATTTTCATTGGCTAACTCCGCCTGTAGACACTTCGGGGCTAGTGCCGGTCCCAAGTCCGGATAAAGGAGGAGGGGGTTAGGCATGGGGTTGGCGCCCCCATCCTAACCATATACTAACCTGCCAAAAAACGATAACCAGCAGAAATAATTCAAACTATTTTGACTCTGCCCTGGGAGTTGGAAAAAGAATAATGACGTCGCGTGATGAAATCCGAGTTCACTCGAAAGTCACGGAGCCGACGTTCGTACATTGTGGGAGACTGGAAGACTATTCCAAGTAGCAGCAGAAATGAAAAGATACAACCTCGAGGTGCTCGGCATCAGTGAAACGCGTTGGACACAGGTAGGACAACTCAGATTAGCCTCAGGCGAACTGCTGTTATAATCTGGTCATGAAAAGTTAAATGCTTCACATACACAAGGAGTTGCACTTATGCTGTCCAAACAAGCACAAAAGGCACTGATAGGATGGGAATCTCATGGACCCAGGATCATTAAAGCATCCTTTAAAACAAAGAAAAAGGACATTACAATGAACGTCATCCAATGTTATGCACCTACCAATGACTACAATGACGACGTTAAAGATCGATTCTACGAAAATCTGCAGTCAATCGTCGAGAAATGTTCACCAAAGGATTTGACGATTCTGATGGGAGACCTAAATGACAAGGTTGGCATGGACAACACTGGATATGAAGACATCATGGGACGACATGGACTAAGAGAAAGGATTAAAAATGGTTAGGGATTCGTAAACCTGTGCCTTCAACAAACTCGTCATCGGCGGGACAATATTCCCGCACAAGCGCATACACAAAGCTACGTGGATTTCACCGGGCCACACTACTCAGAATCAAATCGACCATATCTGTATCAACAAAAAGTTCAGAAGGACCATGGAGGATGTGAGAAGCAAGAGAGGAGCTGATATAGCCTCAGATCACCACTTGCTGGTCGCGAAAATAAAACTGAAACTCAAGAAACACTGGATAACGGAGCAAACAACACTACACAAGTTTAATACAGCCTTTCTTCGGGATACCGTAAAACTCAACGAATTCAAGAAATGGAAAGGGATCAATGAGGCAATCATTTCAACATGTCACGAAGTTCTGGGTCACAAGAAGTACCATCGCAAGGATTGGATCTCTGTTGGTACTCTTGAAAAAATTGAAAAAAGAAGGAACAAGAGAGCAGCAATCAATGTCAGCCGAACAAGAGCAGAGAAAGTTAAGTCACAGCTGAATACACGGAAGCAAACAGAGAAGTGAAGAAGAGCATCAGAGCTGACAAACAAAATATGAGGAAAATCTAGCAATGACAGAGGAAAAGGCTGCAAGAGACGGAAACTTGAGACAATTGTACCATACAACAAAGAAGCTCGCTGGAAACCATCGTAAGCCAGAACAACCAGTGAAGATCAAGGAAGGCAAAGTAATCAACAGCACTGAAGAACAGCAAAACAGGTGGGTAGAGCGCTTTAAGGAACTCTTGAATCGACCAGCTCCACCGAACACACCAACATCCAAGCAGAATCTATGGAACTCATAATCGATGTTGGCCTACCAATAATTTAAGAGATCAGCATGGCCATCAGACAAATCAAGAGTGGCAAATCAGCACGACCAGACAACATTACAGCAGAGGCAGTGAAAGCAGACGTGGAAGCAACTGCAAAAATATTCCACATTCTCTTCAACAAGATTTGCGATGAGAAACAAGTACCACCAGACTGGAAAGAAGGATACCCTATCAAAATACCAAATGGCGATCTCAGAAAGTGTGAGAACTACAGAGGCATCACTCATCTCTCAATACCGGGCAAAGTCTTCAACAAAGTATTGTTAAACAGAATGAACAACTTCGTAGACGCCCAACTTCGAGATCAACAGGCCGGATTTCAGAAGGATCGATCATGTACAGATCGAACTGCAACATTACGGATCATTATGGAACAATCAATTGAATAGAACTCACCACTCTATATCAACTTCATTGACTATGAGAAAGAATTCAATAGCGTGGATAAGAAAACACTATGGAGACTCCTTTGACACTTCGGCGTGCCTGAGAAGATCGTCAACATCATACGGAATTTTTACGGTGGATTAAACTGCAAAATCGCGCACGGAGGACAGTTCACAGACTCGTTCGAGGTGAAGACCGATGTCAGGCAAGGTTTCTAACTCTCACCCTCTCTCGTCCTCCTGGTGATCGACTGGATTATGAAGACGTCAACATCTGGAGGGAAGCACGTTATCCAATGGACAGATAAATGCAGCTGGACGATTCGGACTTCGCGGACGATCTGGCTCTTCTATCGCACACGCAACGACAAATGCAAGAGAAGACGACCAGTGTAGCAGCAGCCTCAGCAGCAGCAGGTGTCAACATACATAAAGGAAAAAGTAAGACTCTCCGATGCAACACAACCTGCACCAACCAAAGCGCTCTTGATGGGCACGCCTTGGAGGATAATAACACCTTTACATACCCTGGTAGCATCATTGACAATCAAAGTGGATTGAGTGCAGATGTGAGGGACGCGGATCGGCAAAGCAAGGACTGCATTTCTACAATTGAAAAATATCTGGAACTCCTAACAAATATCAATCAACATCAAAATCAGGATTTTCAATACTAATGTCAAGACAATTCTAAGCTGCATGGAGCGGAAACTTGGAGAACTACCAATGCCATCATCCAAAAGATACAAGTATTTAACAATGGTTGTCTACGCAAAATACTTCGGATTCGTTGGCCAGACACTATCAGCAACAATGTACTGTGGGAGAGAACAAACCAGATTCCAGTGGAGGAGGAAATCAGGAAGAAGCGGTGAAAGTGGATAGGAAACACAATGCGGAAAGCACCCAACTGCGTCACAAGACAAGCCCTCACATGGAACCCTCAAGGCAAAAGGAAAAGAGGAAGGCCAAGGAATACATTACGCCGAGAAATAGAGAAAGACATGAGAACAATGAACGAAAACCGGAAAGAACTGCGAAGGTAAGCCCAAAACAGAGTTGGTTGGAGAAAACTGGTGGGTAGCCTATGCTCCATTGGGGGTAACAGGCTAGAGTAAGTAAGTAAGAATTGAGTAACGCACGATGCAGAATGCGTTAGAACGAAATTGATCAAACATGTCCAACACACTGAAGTCGACGTTTTGAGAAGGGGACACCAATAGAATTAACGTTACTGTACCCGAGTGTACACATTCGAACAAAGCACTACTCGCATGGTTCTGGCACCGTGTCAATAATCCTTCCGATGAAACAATGATCTGAGAAGAGTCACCTGACTTCTCGATTCAGAGGCCAGATCTCACGTACTTGAAGGAAGACTGCTCTAATCGACGTCTTTCAGAAAGGACCTTTCTACGGTCAGACTAACATTACAAAGGTACTAATGATGGCCCAGACTGACAAAAGCCACTTCAGCTTTCACTATATGCAAATTATTCTCATTATGAATGACAACCAGCACTGAGCTTCCCAGATAGACGAACTCTTCGACTACTACTCCTAACTATTCAATACCAGGATCTAGAGCATGCATACATTTCTGGCAGTCTTATAAATGCGCTTTATACTTAGAAGGCACAAAGCATATGACATACTGTAAAACATTAATTTCCAAATGAACAAATGGCATTTGCAGGGCTTGATTATCATTGCACAGTAGGACTTTAATGCCAGCATTCTCAATGTTGGGAAGCCTTTCTTCAGGTAACAGATCATTATCAATTTCCATAAAAGTTGTTTCCGAAACACCATTGATGGCAAAGTTGAAGGTGAGATTACGCAACATCGCTTAACACCCCTCTGGAAAGCGATGTCTCTATGTTCACACTTAGCCTTGGTGTGTGAATAGAAAGCCTCAAAAAATGCTGATAAACAGTCATTACTGATGAAGTAAAGTAATTACTTGTAACAAAAAAGTTGAAGTTATGGATCGGCTACAGTTAACTGATAAACAGCACTGACACATAGTGAGATGAAAACTAACCCTGAGTTATCGTCTGGAAATCCAAACGTCGTTTGGTAATACTCGGCTGGCACTGTAATTAGGTTAGAAACAATAATGACAACAATACCTGTTTGTCAATTTTCGGTGTGTGCAACTTAAAGGTTGTTTTCAAATCATTTAAAATAACATAGATCCTATCGGGATTGAATGCTATGTCCGCTATGCATTTGTCGAATATTGGTTTAGATACCTCAGTTTTCTGAAATTCACTGGTTGTCTGAAAGAACTTTTTTCTCAGTATATTAATAATTTGCTGATCACTGTTCGACAAGTATTTTCGGACTTGTTTTGTAAACTGCAAGGAAATGGGAAAATTAAGCACAATGAATAGTGTCAATGCAAAAATTGTTAAAAGTCATTTGAAATCAAAGCAAAAATTGTCAGGATAAGTTCGCTAGTACAACGAAAATTGCCGTAACCAATAACTCAACCTGTAGACCCTCCGGGGCTACTGCCGGTCCCAAGCCCGGATAAATGAGGATTAGGCTTGGGGTTGGTGACCCCATCCGGTAGGAAACTAACTCGCTAAGAAAATGCTAACAAGAAAAAATAGTTCAAACCATTTAAACTCTGCCCTGGCAGTTAGGTCTTCATTTAGAAGAGTTATGACGTCTTATGATAAGGGCCAAGCTCCTTCAGAAGTCACGAAGCCGATGCTTCTTCTGACAACCAGAGCCCTTACATGGTATGGGCAGCCGGGAAGTAACATCCACCCTCATACTCATAAGATCACACGAGACCGAATCGGCTAGAATCAAATCCTTTCTACACCTAATAACTCTCCACGACCAACCATTCTTTCGATCGTTTGTCACCTCGAGCCGCTGAAGCAAACGGTTTGAGCTCACGAAACGTTATTCCTGGTCTCCTGAAACCCCGCTCTAAACTACATATTGGAGCTTTGAATGTTCAAACCCTGTGCCAAATAAGGCGACAGGCTCTATTATCTAGAACTCTGGAATCCCGTGCAATCGAAGTATGTTGCGTTTCCGAAACGCCCATACAAGATCCGAGTAAAATCGTTAATTTGATTCCATCTAGTAAAGATAGAGAAACAACACGGTTTACGCTTCGTGTTTCTGGAAGCCTTGATGCTGCTTCCTGTGGCCTCGCTGGTGTAGGTATAGTATTAAGTCGTAGGGCAGAACAAACTCTTGGACTGGATCCCGTTAGACAGTCGCTTATGCGCTGTCCGACTAAACGGGACGGTACGAACTCGTGAAGACAGAAACACGCCGTTGCCTCCTTGTTGTCTCTACCTAGACTACCACTGACTGCAGTCCAGACGAGATAAAAGAGGAGTTTTACAGAAACTTCCCTAACCTCCTTCAAAAAACCCACCCAACGATGGACCCAACGAGATCACATCGCAATAAGCCTTCAGTGGAGAGGCTCTATTGAAGACTGCCGCTCATTCTGGAGCACTTGTTTAGACTCAGACCATGCTCTAGTGCGAGGGCGTATTTGTTTGAGGCATACTGGACGTAGGATAGATATCACAAGGAAACCTCTTACGCTTCTGCGGATCGTGAAGTTCTATGGCAGTGTCTGTCGTTGAAAGGTGTACCAAAGTAAATTACCTTATACAAGCCCCGACCGAAGCTGCTACCTTGACGTGGTGGTCGGGCTTGCCTATCGTGATGACCCAACCGAGCTATATTGGCTGGAACATATGTTCCTGAAGGTTCTACCATGCCAGGCAGGTCGATTGGAGAACGATCAGACTAAAGGCAGCTACCCAAGGTCTGAGGGCGAAGTCGTACTGCTGACTGCAGAGGGGTGTGACAGCAGTAAGGTGTTTCCCTCGGACAACTAGCATCTGCAGCGACTCTGCCTTCTCACAAGGAAGGAAGGGTTAGAAAAGGTCGATCCTAAAAATGTCACACCTCACCCTACCTCATGGATTTTCATCTCCGTCGGTAAGGGTGCCCACTAAGGGCTTTCAAGAGCGGAGCTAATACTCAAAAAACTTCTCATAAAAACCCCGTGCGTGACCGGCCTCAAGCAGTTGTTCCTTGGACTCTGCGGTCACGCTCGCAGGTCGTTCACACCAACGCTAATATACCTTCCTTTTCAGGTTCCTCAAGAAACACCCTTCCACGGTGTGGGCAGCTGGGAAGTGATAACCGCCCTCATACCCGCAACAGCACACGAGACCAAATTGGTCAAAATCAAATCCTTCCTACACCCACACATACCTCCCTTATCTCCACGACTAATTCTTCTCACATTCATTTATCACAGTGCACAGCTAATGCAAACGATGCGAGTTCGCGAAACGTCGTTCCTCGTCTCCTTAAACCCCGTTCTAAACTACATGTTGGAGCATTTAATGTACGGACATTGTGTCAAATAGGGCAACAGGCATCATTAGCTAGGACATTAGAATCTCATGCCATCGATGTGTGCTGCGTCTCGGAAACGCGCATATAGGATCCGAGTAGCATCATTCACTTGACCTCACCATGTCAAGATAAAGAAGCATCTCGATTTACCCTTCGTGTATCTGGTAGCCCTGATGCTGCTTCCCGGGGTCTCGCTGGTGTAGGTATAGCATTGAGTCGTAGGGCAGAACAATCTCTCCTTGACTGGATCCCTGTAGATAGTCGTTTGTGCGCCGTCCAACTAAACGGGACACTCGTCGTTGCCTCTTCGTCATATCAGCCTACGCCCCCATTGACTGCAGTCCAGACGAGGTAAAAGATGTGTTCTACAGAAAGCTTTCGGACCTCCTCCAAAAAGTTAAGCGCTCTGATATAGTTATAATGGCTGGTGACTTCAATGCTCAAGTAGGTAGACTAAGTGAAAATGAAAGACACCTAGGTGGATGTTATGGTGTCGCGGCTCAAAGAACAGACAATGGCGACCGTCTGTTGCAAGTACGCTCAGATAACCAACTATTTCTAGCAAACACTAATTTTAAGCACAAGGAGAAACATCTTTCGACCTAGTGACCCCCAAAGTCGTCTCAACGTTGGACGCAACTAGACCACATCGCCATCAGCCACCGATGGAGGGGTTCGATAGAGGACTGCCGCTCGTTCTGGGGCACATATTTAGATTCAGATCATGCCCTAGTGCGAGCTCGTATTTGTTTGAGGCATACTGGACGTAGGAAATACACCGCAAGGAAGCCTCTTAGGGCTCTACTTGATGATAATCAAGCCAAGAAAATATTTCAGGAGGAACTAGAAAAACAGTTAGGCGACCATGCAAGTGATTCCCATCCGGAGTCAGGTTGGAATCATATCAAGAAGGCTGGGGAAACAGCAGTGATATCTGCTAGCAAGGTAAACCATGAGGCTAAGATGAAGCCGTGGATTTCAGTCGCATCCACGGAACTGATGGATGCGCGAAAACGCATCCCACCTGACTCTGAACATGATTAAGAGCGTAGTCAGCTTAGACGCAGACTGATAAAAAGCCTACGTAACGACCGTGAACAGTGGTGGGTGGCGAAAGCAAAAGCGATGGAAAAGGCAGCGGCGATAGGCAACACTAGACAACTTTTCCGCCTTATCAAAGAAACCGGTATTAGGAGCCCGAATGTAAGTGAGACTATCTCGGAAAAGGATGGTCTTATTATCCATTCTCAATCCAGGAGACTGGACCGATGGGCAGAACACTTTAGGGATCAGTTCAACTGGCCTCGAGCCACATTTCGGTTGCCCACGATCCCCAGTCATCCTGAATGGCAAAGCGATTTAAGTCCTCCCAGTCTACATGAAGTTGAGAAAGCTATAGGAAATCTAAAGCGAAGTAGAGCAGCAGGTCCTGATAGGCTTACCCCTGAGATGTTTAAGGACGTTGGTCCAGTTTTAAAAGTTAGACTGACCGAGATCCTAGATAAAATCTGGGAACTGGACGTAATCCCATCTGACTGGTCTCAGTCGCTGATTGTCCCAATCTACAAGAAAGGGCAAAAGTCCTCTTGTGACAATCACAGGGGAATAAGTCTAACTAATATAGTTTCTAAATTGTTAGCCTCGATTATACTTAGACGTCTCACTAGAGCTCGTGAAGAGCAGACTAGAGAAAACCATGCTGGTTTTCGACCTGGACGTGGTTGTATAGACCACATCTTCACACTACGACAGGTCCTGGAACAGACACACATTTAGACGTCCGACAATAGTCGTGTTCCTGGACTCAGTGGATCGTGAGGATCTGCGGCAGTGTCTATCATTGAAAGGTGTACCAAAGAAGTACATTAACCTCATACAACCTCTCTACTCGAACACCACTGGTCGAGTGAGAGCATATGGCGAACTATCACCTGAATTCTCTACGTCAAGTGGTGACCATGAGGGCTGACCACTCTCTCCATTCTTGTTTAACTTTGTCGTAGACATCCTCTCAGAGCTAACATTAAGCTCGTCAGATTTTTCAGGGGTTGACCTTCTACCAGGAAAGTCGCTTACTGATCCAGAATATGCCGATGACATAGTTCTATTTGGTGACGACGCTGACAAAATGCAGTCTTCTGACTACCATAAGCAACAATGCAAGCATGTTCGGGATGCGGTTCACACCCTTGAAATGCAAAATGTTGCTTCAAGACTGGGTTGCATCGGCACCTGAACGAGTGATAGGGAGTGAAGTAGTCAAGCGTGTTGATCAGTTCACTTATCTGGGGAGTCTCATCAGCGCTGATAGCCTGGTGACTGACGAAATCTCAGCTCGGATACAGAAAGTTCGATTGGCTTTTGCCAACCTGCGTCACTTATGGCGTAGGCGTGATATCCGTTTGCTGACTAAAGGACGAGTGTACTGCGCAGTAGTTCGCTCCGTTCTCCTATATGGCTGTGAAATATGGCCGTTAAGAGTAGGTGTTCGTAGGTTACTAGTATTCGATCATAGATGTTTAAGAAGTATTGCTGGTATATCGTGGGACAACCGAGTAAGCAATGCTGTCGTTAGGAAACGAGTACTAGGCAGATTAATAGATGAAGTGGTGAAACTTCATCAGTTGAGGTGGATGGGATATGTGTTACGTATGGCTAACCACCGACTGCCTCGACGAGCTATGTTTTGTGGTGTAGGAGTAGGTTGGAAGAAATCTATGGGCGGCCAGACCAAAACATGGTACAAATCCATGAAGTCACTAACAAGTGGACTGAGTCATGTTGGTAGATGTAGACTACCTGGTTGGGGTCCGCGAGACGAAAGTCACCAATGGATAGAGACTTTGAACTACATGGCTCAAAACCATTTGCAATGGCGCAAGTGCATCCATTCTTTGAGCTCTCTCAAATCCTAATCTTCTGGATTCGTCAGCAACTCTACCTTTGCCTTCCTAACCTTATGTCACTGAATAATACTTCTTGAATAATATCTTCAAACCCTAGTCTTCTTCATTACCATTAACACCTCTCCTATTTTTATCACTATGGGATTTGATTTGACATTTGCGTCTCTGTGCTAATGTGGTATGGTAACATGAACTTATGTACATACGTACGTAGTTCTACGTTGCATCTGACTGACTGACTCACCAGATACACTGTGCAAGGGCTAATGATATTACCCTGTTATTAAACATAGGTCGGTAGAGCAGAGGATGAACGCGAGGCTCAGTAGCTATTGACCAAAGCCTAAGCCACTAAGGTACCAGGATTTTGAAATAAAAGAACGAAGACCATTGCGACAATGACCGGCTTATAGAAACGACAGCCCACTGATGAAAGTCTACACTAAGAAGAATCAGAAATTTGTAATCTTTTGGTCAGAGTGAATCACATTAGACAAGCTACTATGTAAATTGTCGTCACAGTTAAAGATTTACATTCATTATGTATCAATAAAGACAACAGATTATAATCTGGATTTACGCACGATAGGCTAGAAAAACCATATTGATTACATGACAATCATTATAAAATACCTAAAGTACTTTTAATATAACTAGATTTTTCAAACCCAATTTATTGCAATCAGTTTCGAGGTATATCTCAACCACTTATGCAGTTAAGATTGTCACTGAAAGCAGGTAATTATTTTCGCGCACAATTCCTACTGATTTTAGACGTGGTATCTGAAATTCGCGGCAATGTGAGTTATAAGAGCAGATATAAAAGCAGCAAGGACAAAGCAATCAAGGGAACACTCACATCTGACCAGGTGACACTCATTTTTAATGGCCCGCTGACCAACAACCTTTCAGTCTTCAACCTAACTACACTATCCAATATCCAATATCTGTTACACGACCTAGCATAAACCAGTTGATTCCTTTGCGCTCGATTATAATTCCTTCTGTACTGTTCCAGGTGTTTGGTAATGTCCAAAGAATGGGGGTCTAGCCACTTATCTGTCTAATTCTAGTCAGCTGGCAGTTGGCTATTAGTTTGTATGTCTCGTGATTTGACTGAATAAGTTTGTTTCAGAGCAGTAGGGTTTCTGGATACCAGCAGCTATCACATTAACAGATCGGCAACAAAAACGGTGATGTTGGAATACATAAATATTTTGTGTGAAACAGTACCTACGGCGATTGTTCAAGTTTTCATTGGCCACTGGGTTTCTCTTTATAACGCTCTATTCTCAATCTATCCTGACCGAGGTGCCGTCTTTGAGAGTTGTTTGATAGCCAATGTATGACTAGTAATAGGAATCCAGAGAGAAGACACTTTGCTGCGTACAGCATGAGAGGTAATGATCGGGTAGAAAGGACAAAAGGAACAATAAAACCCCTCTACGACTGTTCACCGGTAAGTTGTCTACTGTATTTTCAGATGACAGGGTACCTCAGTGTCTCTTAGTTTATCGCTTATCAGTACATAAATAGACAGGATTTTCACCTGCTACTTTACATCTACCTATCGCAATAAAAAAAACTTTTAACCACATGCAGTTGAATAATTGGTACCACACATTCATAATCTTCGTAAACGTCTGGCCAATGCGGATCTCATAATCATCACTAACCTACAAGATACTAGGAAACAAAAGAAAGATTCAGATAGATAATGAAATGGACTACTGTGTGGATCCGGGGATCGGGTTTGATTGCACTGCACTGTGAAACTACTGAAAACATGCAGCGATTTCAAACATCAACTGGCATGGCCTCTATATGAGTTCGCTCATGCAGTCTTTCAGTACCACAAAAACATACCAAAACCTGATACCCCAGCTACTAGTTTGCTTTAAGAAGAGTGTAGGATTTAATTTGTCCTAAAGATGATTGAACTTAAATCATTTGATCAGCATCCAAAGAATGTGGAGTAGTGAAATAATGAAAACAATCATTCACAATGTTACAACATTGTACAATATCAAACTAAGACATGAACAACGTCGAAATCCAGTCCCCGAGCGAGATGTTGATCAGCGCTACCAACATCGTGTAAAGGAATTGACAAAAATTAATATTTATAGAAGAACAGGAAGATCGGATGGATTATAACATTGAAAAGTACATAATCATATTGAATATATGAATTGTACGATGTGAAAAATAAGAACAAAAAATGATGCAAATAAAAATGCCCTCTTGAATCGTGTATCGAGCTAATCACAACCGGAAGAGGCAATGAAAGCAGACTTGACAGCAAATGTAAAAATATTCCACCTTCTCTTCAACAAGATTTGGGATGAAGAACTAGTACCAACAGACTGGAAAGGAAAATACCTCATCTCAGATAGTGTGAGAACTACAAAGGAATCACTCTTATCTCAGTTCCAGGCAGTCTTTAACAGGATATTGTTAAACAGAATAAAAAACTCCGTAGACACCAAACTTCGTGATCAACAAGCTAGATTTTGTATGGATCGTTCGTGTGCCGACGAAAACGCCACATTACAGACCATTGTGAAACAATCAGTTGAATGGAACTCTTCAGTTTACGTCAACTTCACTGACTACGAGAAAGCATTTGACAGCGTGGACAGGACGACACTTTCAATGCTTTTTCGTCTCTACGGTATGCCTGAGAAGATCGTCAACATCATACGGAATTTTTACGGTGGATTAAACTGCAAAATCGCGCACGGAGGACAGTTCACAGACTCGTTCGAGGTGAAGACCGATGTCAGGCAAGGTTTCTAACTCTCACCCTCTCTCGTCCTCCTGGTGATCGACTGGATTATGAAGACGTCAACATCTGGAGGGAAGCACGTTATCCAATGGACAGATAAATGCAGCTGGACGATTCGGACTTCGCGGACGATCTGGCTCTTCTATCGCACACGCAACGACAAATGCAAGAGAAGACGACCAGTGTAGCAGCAGCCTCAGCAACAGCAGGTGTCAACATACATAAAGGAAAAAGTAAGACTCTCCGATGCAACACAACCTGCACCAACCAAAGCGCTCTTGATGGACACGCCTTGGAGGATGATAACACCTTTACATACCCTGGTAGCATCATTGACAATCAAAGTGGATTGAGTGCAGATGTGAGGACGCGGATCGGCAAAGCAAGGACTGCATTTCTACAATTGAAAAATATCTGGAACTCCTAACAAATATCAATCAACACCAAAATCAGGATTTTCAATACTAATGTCAAGACAAATTCTGCTGCATGGAGCGGAAACTTGGAGAACTACCAATGCCATCATCCAAAAGATACAAGTATTTAACAATGGTTGTCTACGCAAAATACTTCGGATTCGTTGGCCAGACACTATCAGCAACAATGTACTGTGGGAGAGAACAAACCAGATTCCAGTGGAGGAGGAAATCAGGAAGAAGCGGTGTAAGAGGTTCCTTTCTGACAACCAGCGCAATAATAATTATAGGTGCATTCGATTTTTGCACAAACTGACAAACCGGAACAACTAGTTAAGTTGCTGCGGAAACGAAGAGATAGAACCTGTTGGTACTCAGAATCAGTGAAAAACATTGGAAAAAGTTTGGGCAACCAGTACTAGCTTCAGGATAGATGCTGTTATACTCCAACTGTGAAGAAGAAAATGCCTCACATATACATGGAGTTTTACTGATGTTGTCTAAACAAGAACAAAACAACTTATTTGATGAGAATCTCATAGACCTAGGATCATCAAAGTATCCTTGAAAACAAAGAAAAAGGACATTACAAGAATCGTCATCTAATACTATAGGCCTACTAACTATTATAATAAAGACATTGAAGCTCATTTCTATGAGAGACAGCAGTCAAGAAGTGTCCAATAATGAATATGACCATTCTGATGGGAGACCTAAATAGCAAGATTGTAATGGACAACACTGGATATGAAGATATCATGAAATGACATAGACTGGGAGAAAGGATAGAAAATGGTGAGAGATTCTCAAACCTATGTGCCCTCAACAGAATGGTTGTAGGTTACAAAATATTCTCACATAAATGCATGCACAAAGTCACATGGACTTCGTCGGATCAAACCACAGAGTTCCAAATTGATCGCATCGTCATTAATTAAAAGTTCAAGAGGACCATGGAGGACATACGAAGAAAGAGAGGAGCTGACATACGTGGAGGGAGAATGTGACTGGTTACAGAACGTTGACAAACAGTTACAGCCTACTTGCAACAAACTATATGATTTCATTTATCGTTATTCATTTTTACTCCGAACTGGCAGAGTTTGACTGTTTGTAATTGTATGGAATAAAATGTTGCCTATCGCTTACTTTAACTATCTATTTTTGGTCATGAGTCATGTATCTGGTTTAACGTGATCTAGCATGTGTAATGGGCTTCATAGTGTTAACTCGGTCACCCATTTAGTCACTATGTATAAAACAAAGATATATCCTATATCACAACAGTCGTTTTGTTTTCTATCCATTAATTAATTGATAAACCTTTGAAACCTTCCTCTGGTTAACGAATGTTTTCATGAAAATTTCATACATGTTTCTCGTGATTTTTATTCAGTTGCAATTCTTACGGACAAATCAATTGTAAAAAGCCTATGAAATAAATTAACTGAATTCATTCATGTTTTACATTCTTTTCAAAAACACTCTTATTAAAATTGATTTATTTTTGGTTGATTGTTGAGATTTTTCGACAAACTGTATTTCAAAATTAAAACGAAAAACGTAACGGAGAAATTTCGCCCCGTTCCTCACTAAATGTTTATTTGTCCAACAAACTGTATAGTGGTCATTATCAATCAACATTTTAATTGTTATTAATTGAAAACCTAGACATAAGGATGTATATATAAGTAATCGGAAGAAATATTAAGTCATTTATATCCAAGAAGTAAGAAACAGTTTTGTTAGATTGAAAGAAATATTCTGGGATTTTAAAATGAATAGATTTACAAGTTGAATTTTTCAAATTATAATATATGTGCACAAATAGTTGAAAAAATTACTAACTACTTATAAATTATTAAGTAGGTCAAAGAAAATAACAAAATAATTACAGCATACAAGGAAAATGTCTTAAAACAGAGCTGAAAAAAATATCATGATTTACGCCTGTTTTTTTATCACAATTTATAGCTTGTGCAATCTTGTCATTGTTTTGTAATCTTGTATACTGCCAAAAACTAATCTGTCAAAAATGACACTGTATATGTGTGTGTATAGGTTAATCTTTTGATATTCATTATTTAATGAATAGAATTCCACAATTATTTGATCATTTTCTAGTTAATTGATGAAGCATTCAAAGTGGAAATGATCAGCAGTGAGTGTATAAGAAAGAAACTTTGAAGAATATCAATAAACTTTCTTGATAGTTCATTTGTCAGTAATCATTTCTGATGATATCTTTTCTTAATTGAATTTAATGTTTGTAAATATTTTTCATATACAATTAATTCACTTTTTTTTAAAAAAAAATTGTGATTATTTATCATTGAAAATTTTTATATTATAATGAGTAAATAATTGACGTTTTTTCTGAATAGTCCTACTATAGGTATGTATAATACATTTTAAACAAATACGTACACAATGTACTCGACTAGCTAAATTGACTAATTCATTGATAAGTTCATCTAAAAGTAAAAGTATTGCTGCCAATAGATGTAGAAAACATGCAAACCATGTTATGCCATAGGCTTCACCAAAACTCACTGGACCTTCTATGCGTAAATGCACTTTTACAGTAATATGATAAATAAGCACAGATAATGCAGTGACAAATGCTAAAAAGGGAGAAAAAAATATGCAGAAACAGAAAGACAGTGAGAGAGAGAGAGAGAGAGAGAGAATAAGTCAATAAAAAATATGGCTACACTGAACAATATCGATCAACAATGATGTAAACAAAACTAGATTATGTAAAAAAAAGAGAGCAGAGATAATAAATATATAAAGGCTCAATAAGAAAATACTAAAATGAGCAGTAGTTTTTTCCCTAATCGATCATTGATAAAAAAATATGTTTATTCATTGGAAAAAAAGTTTATTTATTTAAGCCATATTGTTGTTGTATGTGTTTTAGAGTGAGATTCTTTATTTTTCTTGGGTCTATGTGGATGGAATCGGTAGTTTTAATCAATATTTCCTGATAGTTATATCTGGTTAGGAAATTTCAGTCAGTTAGATACAATGTAGAACTTTATACGTACGTACGTACGTACATCATTGCCATAATTATATCAACAAAAAGAGATAAGATTATCCGTTCAAATCCTATAATTTTATAGGTAGTAGAAGTATTAACGTTAATGAAAAAGAATAGGGTTCGAAGATATGATTCAACAAGTATAGTTCGGTGAAATAAATTTGAAAAGAGAAAGAAACGGTTATAAAGAATTCAGAGGATTAGTATTTGAGCGAAGAGAAAGTATGAATGCATCTGTGTCACGACAAACAGCTTTGAGTTATATCATTCAAAGTCTCTAACCATTGTCTTACAAGCTCTAGTCAGGTAGTCTCCAACCACATAGAATACAAAGACTATTGATTTTCATATCCATATGGAGTACCGTTTCATGATCTGTTAAACTAATGAGAGCAACATAATGATATGATTGGGTTCTATTCAATAATAATAACTAATGATTGAAGATCTTCGATGAAATCAGTGGTTGATAGCATTCATTTTTTAACATTTCCTAAATTTTGACGAAAAATACTACAACATGTATAGATGATGTACATTTATTCCTTTATGCGAATTTCATATTCATATTCAAAAACTTAATAACTGAAACCTGTTCAAAACAGCCAACCTCATTATAACACAATCGTTTTTTGTTGAAATAACAAAACGATTAGATTTTTTTGAATTCGATTAAATGAATTTATTATGTGACTGCGCGAAAAATCGATGCGATAAAATGAATATTCAAGTGATCAGTGCATAATAGTTTAAGAATAACTTAAAGAAAATTTTACTATCTTCTTTTACCCTTCTTGAATAAACTAATAATATGATCATTTGTTTATGCCTCCTTTTGTTTAATTCATTTTGTTAAATGTCCAATGGAAGCATTCAACTGTATGAGCGAATCAATTAAAAATTCATCCGATTAACTTTTGTACTTCCATTTTATATCAATTAACCGAAATGGATTAAAGATTTAAACATCATTCAACATGCTAGAGTTTTGGTAATTGGATACTTCAAAGACCAATCATATTATGTACAATATGAGTAAATTTAACAAAAACATTAGAATACATGTACATTATATTGTTTGTATAAATTACCTGCAACAACATGTGCTTCACCACCTGAATGAAAATAATATAATCTTTTCGGAAGAGCATAAACTAAGTGGCCAGCCACCGAAAGACTCAAACCTAAGAATCCTAATAATATAGCCAATACAAGTATAAAGAATGCACCATCTTGCCAGCCTAAGATAAATTGAAAGTTTCGTAAAAAAAGATATATAGATGCATTCAATTAGATATTCAGTTAAATTATTTATTAGAATTAAGTAAATAAATTACCGTTTCTCTTTTTACAAGACATAAACAATATGCATGTATACATCGTGATCAATGAAGTCTTGTATAAAGAGTAAGTTATCCTGAGTTTAAGTGTGAAATATTGAATAAAAAAGCTAATCAGTTGATGAAACTTTAAGCCCGTATTGAGTAAAGTGGTTAGGATATGAATTACAAATGACTAACGATGGTCTGTACAAATTTATAGTGTTGGTTAGCACTGGTCTGATAACAGATAGATGCGGATCGATCAAGACAGGTAGCCAGTTTTTGAAGTCTTTAACTGATTGTATGACCCATGCAGATAGGATCAAACGACCTCATTGTTATTCATGGTTGGAAGCGTCATCTATACCACTAACCACTATTCTAACAGTATCCAAATGAACATTTGTAAACGTTCGTCTAAACAACTGAGTTTTTAACGAAAGACATCATTAGTTTTAATAAGATTGTACACAGAATTTGCTGATATGCACCACTGAACGAAATAGTGTATTTACCAATCTCATCTAGACATTAACCTAACTCTACCAAGCAGTTTGAAAATGTGATCACAGTATTTCTTATTTAATCTCTAATAGTTTGTGTTAACAGTTAATCAGATATGCCTAGTAGCAACATGTTTTCTAGCGTCTGCATGGATAGTATGTTTGGATCTTTGAAGAAGCTATTTTTTCATGAATGTTGATTACTAGCTTAGCTTAAAAGTGATGAATACAGTAAAACGAAAAAGGTGCTTCAAGTCATTTAGAATCAAATGTAGTCATAACGAATTTGGCTGAACCGGATATTACGCAAATCACCGCGAAAAACTGTATTCTTTTAAACAACACAAACTCAATTATCTGTTCAATGTTAATCTAGATTACACAACCTTAGTGTTCAAAGACCTAATATGCAAATCACAGGTCATTAAAACAGTAATCGAGTTTACTTAAATCGCAATTTCGCCGTCAACTAACACTTTTAGATTCAACTGTCAGTTGCTTATTTAGTATAATGATAATAATGCAGTTTAAGCATACTGAAAGTGAAAAATATTACTAATATGAAATAAGTAGTAAATACAAATCGACCGAAGTTGGAGATGCAAATTAGTGAATACCACTTAGATAACATTAGTATAATTGTTTTATTGTGATTCACTACAATCCTTCAATATTAAACCGATTACACTGCAACACATTTGTTGAAAATGTCAGCTTGTATAAGAACTGTAGTTTAGTGGATAACGCTTCAGAGTTTCAAGCGAAAAGTACTGAGTTCAAGTCTCGATGTGAATACCGACACTGAGATGCAAGAGCATCTATCTTCATTTCCACTATTGATAATGCGATGAAAATTACCTACATTTTCAGATTTTCGGATAGAATATCTGGCATTTAAAAATGAATTCGTATAAGTAGCTATTCTAGACCTCTGGCATGTTGTTTCAGTCTTCTGTTCAATTGTCAAAAATCTCTTGGAAAAAACACACTTCTTATTTCTATAATCTAATATATATGATTTCAATTAATTAGTCACTAAATCTGAATGAAAAATAACATACCTTCATGTTTGGTAATAAAAGGAAGCATAATTTCACATGTTTGATTGAAATAATTACAACGTTTCCAAAATCCACTACTTGTAATATTGTTTGCTGAAAAGAAACAACACAGCGAAGAATCGTTTAATGTAACAACGTCTGCAAAACAAAATCAATTCATCTTATTTCATGGCTTCTTATGATAGTTGCAATCAACTATTATCATAATCATTATTTAAAAGTGCCGTTAGATGCCCGTTCAGTGGTCTAGAGGTTAAGCGTTGTCGCGCAAACCGAAGGTCTCAGGTTCGATTTTGGCAAGCGCAGGTCATGAATGCGCACTGTCGAAGAGTCTCATACGAGGACGAGGAGGCTGTCCAGTGCTTCCAGGATTCTAATGGTGGTCACACATTGATCGACTGACTATTTCAAAGTAACTCAACAATTACCACAACCTTATAATAAAATTAAAACACTGATCGTATAGTACATTGTTTTTCATGATAACATTTTATGATAACCACTTGTCTTATCATCATCATACAAGGTAAGCACTATTTTCATTCTGTGAGTCAGAATTAGGAGGTTACCGAATATATCAATGTCAAACTGGTTACCACAACTATTGATGTTAGGCAAGATTTTTCTTTGAATGAAAAACATTAGTTAACCATTCGTCTATCTCTCTATCTCTGTAACAATGAAATTACTTCTAAAAGTTAGTACAAACTCAGAATGACTGGCTGTTAATGCAACTAATTACGTTCATAACAACCTATATGTTAATTAAAATAACATTGAACAGTGAATAATGAGAGAAAGGATTGTCTGCAAGACTAGTATTTTATGCTTATTTATATTCACACAAACTGTGACAAATACAACATAAAAAATTTAAACCACACACTACAAAAATCTCTTCAACTGAATTGTTGAGGATCATATTTGTTTTTCATTTAGTGCAATTTGTAAATGAATATTTGATTTTATCACTTTGCTAGTCAGTTGGTTCGTTGACTTAAATATTTCCATTTTGAGTGTACCGAATTAATAACTCACCCAGATTATTAGCTGAACATTTGTGTCTACACTGATGATCTTCAGCAACTTGTTAGCCAATCAAGAAACACTGCCTAGTTATGAAACATTGAACACCTAAGAGTAATAGCCTTTTATCTCAACAATCAATCTTCATAGGTCGAATTATATTCCTTGTAGTAAGAGGAAAAGGCTAATTTCACTATAAAATGTAAGGGCTAATATTTTGAGATAAGGTTATCACTCTACAGGGTTTTTGTCACCAACTGAGACCAGTTTTCTGCATGAGATTTAAGGTTTGCATCACGAACGGACATTAGCTATGATGCAATAATGTTTCATTCTACTGTTTGCGAACTTAAGCTATTTATAATTGAGAAGGATGGATATTATCTAGCTTCACTAAACACCACCGTCAACACATTGAATCAAAACAAATACTTTACCATACGATTTGTTTGAAAAGCATTTATGTTTGGTAATTTAATTTATTCGCCCTCTTAAATTCACTTTTCGGTTTATAAACGATAATTCCTACTGATTTCAGAACCGTATATCACAATTTCTTCTTTGTTATTGATAACATTCCAGTTATCTATGTCTGTATTGTAAATTTCGTGCAAAATAAAAGAAGCGTTATCTTATTTCTCATTGGTTCACTCAAGCCATCAGTATATTATACTTTTACCAACATGCATTATTCTAATATTCTTGACATGCATTGCTTTTGATTACTGTACAATCTGTCATAATATAACACTAACGGTTGTATATATATATATATATATATATATATATATATATATATATATATATATATGCATACTATCATAGATGAAATATTATCGAAGGTTGACGAATACTCAGAACATACAGTATTGTATTGTAACAGCTTTCTTAAAGTGTGCTATTTAAAATTTCGTTCTAGTAAATTATGACTGTGATTGTGTGATATAAAATAGCTATAAAAATCTTTTTCTGCTCTATTTACCACTTGTTACTCGACAGTTCACTGCGTTCATTCAGGATGATCACTATTGTACACAACTGTACACAGTATATGTTGACAATAGCGTTCTTTAATGACAGAAAGCATCAAGCTGAAAATATTTGTAACACAAGATTTTTCGATTGGTTGAATGACATTTTTGATGTGTGGTAATGAAAGGAAAACGTGATTGGTCATAGAGCGTGGACAAACAGATATAGCCTATTGGCTATTGAACATGTGATTTCATTTCCTCGCGTTGATTTTTACTCCGGACTCACCGGGTGCAGCTGCTTGTAATTGTGTGAATTATAATATTGTCTATCATGTAATCTGATTGTCTGTTTTTCATCGTGAATCCCGTGATCTAGGCTCTGTGTCGTGTACTGTTCAACTATCAAATACAATGGTAAAGTAAACTCGCAGTTACTCATTTAGTCTCAGTATTTGATATAATGTATAAAAAGACATCCAATACTTCTGTCTTAGGACTGCCTCAGGACTGATTGACTTCGTTTTGAATACCACTGGAAAACAATGAGTTTTAAATAGCTGATCCTTCCTAATACGAGACTTCTTATTAGTGCATACTCATGTTAATGGTCAAACCTCGCAGCTTCAAGTTTCTTCATGAATTCTTAACCACTGGACTACTGAGCTGAAAGTCTAGAGTCTACATCTCATTTTATTCATGAAAGCAACTTTCACTTCTGACAGCTTTGAATTCTCAAGATCATATACTCCCCTAATACTTCAGGAAGTTAGTTCTCATTTAATTACTCAACTATGCATTTGTTGGAAAGATACTTTTTTGATTAGCTTATTATATTTTGTAAATGATATTAGTTAGTTGGGAAAAAAATGCCATTCAGTAATTTAGCTGAATAAGCAGTAATTAACTCAGAATTACAAACTAAATTATCCTATTTGTGAAATTTGATCAATCATACAGACAAAAATTCTACTTATCGGACAAATTGCATGTAATTATCAAATAGTTAATTAAGTAAGTAGTTGGTCAGTTAATCAATTCAATGGACCGGTCAGTCGACCAGTTCGCCAATTTTAGTCAGTCAGGCAATAAATTAGGCCGTTATTTAATTTAATCATCTGACAGAATACAATCAAATGCAATATGTATAAATAAGTGTCTCAGATTCCATTGTCAGTCAAATTCTATTTATTCTTTGTACGAAATAAATAAACAGATGTTTTGAAACGAAAAAGAGTTTTATGACAAAAAAATTGAGTAACAAGTCAAATGGACATAAAGTAAAGCATAGACCAATGTGACCTTGACTAATGACTCGATCATCTTTATAACTTGTACATATTTAGGGAAACTGTGCAATCGTATCTGTTATTGATCAGGCATTGTGTGATCATTTCGAAGGCGAATAGGATGAATAGATATTTTCATACGGAACCAGATAGATCAGACGACTCTAACATTGACAGTCCACATACGAATAACAGGTAGAAAATAAGAGGCTTTCAAGAGAACTATGATGATTCTTAAAAGAAGTCCGAAATATGGTACAACATTGATGACCTTGAGGATGTATTACAAAATACCGAACAAGAAGAGGACTTGGCCTGAGGAAAGCGAAGATCAACGTTGTAGTGTTTTGTTCACTGAGCTGGATCTTTCGGTTGTGGAGCTTTTGCTGTTCTTCTGAACAACATCATCAGTACTAACGTTGGAAGATCAACGTGCTAATATAATGGGGCACAGTTTTGGAGGTTTGCGCTTTTACACATTTGAAATCATTAATCAATCATCATTGTTAGACCACCATTAGAAACCTGGAAGCACTGGACGGCCGTTTCGTCCTAGTATGGGACTCCTCAGCAGTGCGCATCCACGACTCCTGCTCCTCGCAGGATTCGAACCCGGGACCTTTGGCATTGTAGGCGAACGCCTTAGCATCGGACCACTGGGCCGGCATCCAACGGTGTTAATGTCTAACTCTGATTGATCTAGGGATTTTGCGCGACCTCACCCATTTGTCTTTGGTAGTTACTGCCTACACTCGACAGGGTTGAACTCCACTGGTCACGTCTTCTCAACTAATATAAGTTACAAGCCATTGAGTATTTTAACATTCATCAAAATCATAATTTATTAGCGAAAGACAAAATATCAGACAGTTTGTTCTGATATCAACTGTATTACTCACAGAGTACGCTGATAAAATCTGTTCAAAGTTAGCTTTATGGTAAGTTATAAGTAGGCAGTAGTGGGCAGTCCAGTGTGGCGTAAAGATATTTCACTAGACTGAAATATTATCATCTGATAGCTGTGAAAAAGATTGTTTCGTCTACTACTATTCCTTAATCAGCATTCGAACGAAACAAACTATGCAGTACTCATTAATTATCTAATAAAAGTTAGTCTATGGTGTCAACTTTCTTCAGGTATTCATCACACTTTTCATGTGATATATTCATTAAAAAAACACAATGATTTACTTACCATATCCCTGATATAACCATGTGCTGGCACATACAGAACAAACTAAACAAACAGAAGCTACTCCAGCTAAACAAACTGCAGTAATTCTTGCACCTGAAAATATACTATGGTCCCAATATTCAGCAAATTCTTGTACATTACTTTCACCTAAATGTACAGAAACTTTTAAAATTCCACTTGATGGTACAGTTGCATCATTATGTCGTGTTGTCATCATTTGTGGGGATTGTTCAATGTCAATATCATTGGATAATGTGACTGACTTTTTAATTCCCGGTATATGAGGTTGTGATTCACTAAGACGAGGAGGTTCTTTCGGCAATATAAAAGATTTTTTATCATACGATACAATCTCATCCATTGATGCATGAGGTGATATTGTTTTCTTTTGTGTTGATATTGGTGATTGACTCATCTTTTTACGACTGCTATAATCATCCCTGTCATCTGTTGTAATATCAGTGGTAAAATGTGATAATGACTTTTGTTTATGTATTGAAAGCCCATGGTCTTTGTTTATTTGTACAGGATAAATCTGTAATAGATAAATTATACGTATAGTGAGTGCATACATGAATTAAGTTTGAGAGTTTTAATTGAACAGAGAAATGAGAAGACAGATATTAATGAAGTCAATGATTTATTTAATGCGATTCATCCGAATCTGAAAGTCACTTATGAGGAACAAAAGAATAATAAACTAGCTTTCCTCGATATCCTGCTCCATCGCCATCCAGACGGATCAATCAGACGAAAAATACACCGCAAACCGAACTGGTCGGGACAGTACCTCCACTTCACTAGTTTCTGCACCATACAATATAAACGTTCTGTTGTCAAAACTTTATTCGCTCGAGCAAGTAGAATCTGCACTGTTGATACATTGGACGACCAGTTCAAGCTTATTACTGAGACACTTAAATTAAACGGATATCCCGAAACGTTTATTGGTCATCAGAACACAACTACGACGAAACTGATAGCAACTGATGTGCCCAAGAAACCAGTGTACCTACAGTTACCTTTCAAAGGGTTATCATTGCATGAAAATTACAACCAAACAGACTGCAGCTGCAATAAAAAAGACCTTCAATGCAGCTAATCTGAGGTTTATCACAACAACTCAATCGATCTCAGTTACCTCAATCAAGTCTCCAAGACCGATTCAGTCCAAATCCCACTGTATTTACCAATTCACATGTAACTGCGGAGAAAGTTACTTGGGTAGGACAGATCGCCGATTGGAGGGCAGGATAGGGGAACATATTCCAAGATGGTTAATCAAATCCATGATTCACCCACCAAGCCCGTCATCTCAAGATCGATCAAGAAACCCAGCCTCGTTCATTGCAAAATATCTAATGATGAGTGGTCATCAAATTGACCCAAAATCAGCCTTTAAATTTTTGACATGTCATCAAAACCCACACACACTAAAACTGCTCGAAGCTATCTTGATTGGTCGGAAAAGTCCAACTTTATGTGTTCAAAAACAACTGTATGTTGACCTTTGTTTACCATGGTTCTAGTGAGTAAATGTGATGCTAAATAAAAAATTTTGACCTTATCTTCAAAACTGTATTTACATGAATAACATGTTGCTTGTATGTGACTGACGAGAAAGCACGAAATGGTACTATCTCACAAAATATGTCTTCTTATTTCTCTATTCAAATTTATCAAAGGGAACCACTGTTTGAGGAATTATACGAGAATATTAAGTAGTAGTAGATCAGTAGCAGATCAATCAGTCTAAGCGACCTCATATCCTCATCTACATTTTATGTCAAACTGACTATCATCCAAAACGTTTTATGCTAAATTTCTTTTAGATTAGTTTGTTCCACAAAAAACCAATACAATAGAGATCAGTCAAAACCTGAATGGCAAAGCACTTCTCTAACGGATAAGTGTTGACCAGGACAGGAACCGTCGGTCGAAAGCTTCCTATGGATCCGCCATAGCTATTTCCATATTTGAAAGTATATACAATCATCACCCCCCAAAAAGCACACAATTCAGGTAACTAGACTAAAAATACAACCAGAACTCATCATTTCACCATACTGACTAGCAATTCAACTTCAGTTACATAATGTTTAAGCTTCAAATCAGTGATTCCTTTCAAAAGTTACGTGCATCAAATGTATGCTCAAAACGGATATTCAGCATTTCTGATTATAGACTTGTGAAGACTCGTTTTCAACTCTGTTGGATGTAGGCAGTCACTGCCGAAGACAATGGGTGAGGTTGTACAAAACCTTAGATTAATCAAAAGTTAGACAATAACACCATTGGATACCGGCTCAGTGGTCTAGGGGTTAAGTGTCCACGTGCCAGACCGATGGTCATAGGTTCGAATACTGCAAGTAGCAGGAATCGTGGACGCGCACTGTTGATGAGTCCCATACCAGGACGAAATGGCCCCCCTCCAGTGCTCCCAGGTTTCTAACGGTGGTCAAACAATTATTGATTGATAATTTCAATATTTATTCACTGTCAAGTTATTCATAGATATCGACAAGTTTAGACAGAATACAAAACAATTTCTCTCAATCCCTCTTGGAAAAGGAAGTACTTACTTTTTCACTTTTTCTAAATTGATCATCATTATCTTCATAAGATTTAACCTCCAATGGATGAGTTTTTGATTGTGATTCAATATCACCTTTCTCTTCAATTGGAGAGAAAAAATTATATGTTTGTATATAACCTGGATGAATTAATGGTCTTGTTTTACTACTTGACAAAGATGGATAATCAAATGAAGATGAATAATATGGTATATGATATTTGAATTGTTGTTGACGTGCAAATTTTGATTCTAAACTTTTTTCATGATATTTTGGCAACTGATATTGTTTTAATGGTGATGATTTATACAATGGCATTGGTTTGTATGATGGTTTATCTAAACTTAAAGCTTTTCTAAATGAATCAATTCTGTGTGGTGTTAAATGCCTATCGGTTGTTCTTTGTGTTTGACTCCATGGACGTTTACTCAGTTCGCTTTCATAAGTGACTTGATGTTCATGATGTTCATAAGGACGTTTTCTTCCTGGTGTATATTTAGTATACGTATATGCATCGATTGGATAAGCTTGATTAAAATGTTCAAATGTTCTTTGTTCTTCTATAAAATATTTTCAAAAGTTAATGAAGATGAAATAAGTTCATTAAATAGGTATTTTATAGAACATACTGAATGATATACATAAATTAAATGTACACAATGTGTAATTAATTTACAATCTTATGTATTCTTATTGTTTGAAATCTATAAATCTTTATAGATGATTCACTTACTTAACTAGCAGCAGGATTTAAGATCAGCGTCTCGTTCGATTTAGGACTTGTTAGCTATCTGTACTTACATCTTCATATTTCTATTCACACTGGTACTCGAACCTAGTATTTCTCCTTTGAAACGTCATTTGATTATTAGCTAAGCTATGGATTCAGTATAATTGCTCACCTGCACAAAAGTTACTACCATATTTGTATCCTTACTCATGACAATTCAAATACTCGCTAGTTTGTCACCTTTTTCTACGTGCTTACTTACTTACTTATACCTGTTACCCCCAATAGAGCATATGCCGCCAACCATTTTTCTCCAACCAACTCTGTCCTGGGCTTCCTTTTCCAGTTCTGTCCAATGTTTGTTCATTCCTCTCATATCTTTCTCTATTTCTCGGCCTAATGTGTTCCTTGGCCTTCCTCTTTTCCTTTTGCCTTGAGGGTTCCATGTGAGGGCTTGTCTTGTGACGCAGTTAGGTGCTTTTCGTAGTGTGTGTGTCCTATCCACTCCCACCACTTCTTCCTGATTTCCTCCTCCACTGGAATCTGGTTTGTTCTCTCCCACAGTACATTGTTGCTGATAGTGTCTGGCCAACAAATCCGAAGTATTTTGCGTAGACAACTGTTAATAAACACTTGTATCTTCTGGATGATGGCTTTTGTAGTTCTCCAAGTTTCTACGTGTAAAACTGTAATTGATTTTTTAGCTCATATGGTCCTCTCAATAGTCATCTTTCACTTTTATTGCTAATAATTTTACTGCTTTCATACTAATTCTTTACTCACTTACTAATGCTAATTTTGTATGCTTTAATTTGAAGCAGATTGTAAAATGTGTTCAACCAAGTCAGCCTTATTTTATCGCCTGTAAGATTTGCATTTCGAATGTGAATAGTTAGAAAATATGCTATCCAATGTATGCCGATCATCGATCAATCACATAAAATGGTCACTTGTTTACATCAAAGTGTGAATTTAATTTGTTCAACAAATCATGTAATTATTTCGAAAATATCTAAACATTTCTTCAACCAGAAAATAGAATTATTCAAATAAATGTTTAAATCTTTCTATTATTCTCAAAATATTAACAATTTCGGTATATAAAAAGACATTTTCCTTTTTCCTTTTCATACAGTTGGGTCATTTCAACTGAATAACAACTGATCGAATCCTTTGTTTTTTTTGCTCAGAAAACCATTTCTTGTTAATGTCTAAATGTCGAACACAGATGTTAAAAATTTACAGAAAAAAAAGAAGAATATGATTGTTTTGGAAAGGAGAGTTTATACAACAAACTATATCAATTTATTTATTTTGTACAACCTAAAGAAAAACTTGTCATACTCTAGATTTGTGTCATTATGATTGAGCGGTTGTCTGCATCTCACTCACTGGTGTACCTTTTCTCTAATTGGTTGTAAACATGAACAATCATTCACCACTTGGTAGTAGTCATGATGAAATTGAAACTAAAAGATCGCTGGAAAAAGGAGTGAACAGCATCATAAAAGATTAGTTTGGCCTTTCTTCAGGGTATCGACTAACTTAATGAATTCAAGATAGCTCTCAGTAATTAGTTCCAGGCTTTTCACGATTTGCTCAACGGAGAGGGAACTATGATGGAGAACAACTGAAAAGAGATAAAAGCTGCATAAACTTCCACATGTCATGAGGTTAAGGGCCACAAAAAGTGTCATCACAAGGAATGGATCTCTGTTCATACTCGGGATGACATTTGAGAAAGGAAGAACAGGAAGGCAGCAATTAACATCAGTCGAACAAGAAAAGAGAAAGCCAAGGAACAAACTGAGTATGCGCAAGTATACGGTCAGGTGAAGAGGGGCACCAGAGCTGACAAACGTAAATAAGTGGAGGATCTAGCAACAATAGCTGAAAAATCTGCTCGAGTAGGTAACATCAAACACCCGTACAATACAACGAAGAAGCTTGCTGGAAAATATAGTAAACTAGGACGACCAGTAAAGAACAAGGGAAGCAAACCAGTCACTGACATTCAGGAGCAGCAAAACAGGTAGGCAGTGCACTTTGAAGAACTGCTGATTAGACCAACTCAACTGCACCCACCCAACATCGAAGCAGCACACATAGACCTTTCAATTAATGTTGATGCATCAACTATTAAAAATTCAGCTTGGCTATCAGAAAAACTGACAGTGGCAAAGCAAGAGGACCAAACAACATACCAGCTGGTGCACTGAAATTTGACGAAGCAGTAATCGCGAAAATGTTCCACTCTCTGTTCACCAACATTTCGGAGGAAGAACAATCACAGATACCTCGTCAAGATTCCAAAGAAAGAAGATCTCAGCTTATGTGAGAATTACAGAGGTATCACTCTTCTCTTAATACAAGGAATTTTTCAGCTGAGTGTTGTTAAACCGAATGAAAGATTCAGTAGGCTCCAAAATTTTGGGATTAACAGGCTGGGTTCCGTGACAGTAGGATGTGTATTAACCAAATCGTGACATTACGAATCATTGTGGAATAATCAACTGAATGGAATTCATCAATATACATCCACTTCATTGACTACTAGAAAGCATTTGGCAGAGTGAACAGGATGACACTTAGGAGGCTTCTTCGATAATTTGGTGTACCTGAGAAGATAGTCAACATAACATGGAATTATTATGATAGATTAAACTGCATGATCGTGGATGAAGGACCGCCTATATACTCGTTCCAGGTGAAGACCGGTGTCAGACAAGGCTACCCACTTTCACCCTTTCTCTATCTCCTAATGGTTGACTGGATTATTAAGACTTCAACATCTCAGGGGAATCAGGGAATATAATCGATAACTTGAATGCAACTATATGATTTGAACTTTGCAGCTGACCTAGCTCTTCTATCCTACACAATAACAAATACAAGGGAAGACGGCCAGCATAGCAGCAACCTCTGCAGCAGTAAGTCTCAATATACACAACGGAAAAAGTAACAACCTCTGATACAGCACAACATGCATCAACCAAATCGCACTTGATGGAGAAGCTTTGGAGGATGTGGAAACGTTACATATCTGGGTAGCAAGATGGATCTGACAGAGGTGTGAAGGCGCGAATTGGAAAAGTGAAGGCAGCATTCCTGCAGTCGAAGAATACTCGAAACAACTATCGACATACACTAAAGTCAGAATTTCCAATGCGACCATCGAAACCGTTCTATTGCTTGGGGCGGAAACTTGGAGAACCACGAAAGACATCATCCATAAGGTACCGGTGTTTATTAACAGTTGTCTACACAAGATGCTGAGGATTTGTTGACCGAACGCCAAACACCTATTAAACATTCTTTTATCTTAATGCAACACTCCAATAATTCACTCAAAACATTCTCCCAGTATTATTTCCCATTATTATGATACCTTAATCAGTTTGCTTCTGATTTCAAGTGTTGTGATTGCTTTCCTTCACAAATTAGTACCAGACAAAGAACTACTGTGCATCTAGGAACACTGAACAGTTACTTCGTTCCGGATCCATCTTACTTGACTCAATGTAAGCTCAATAATCGACAAGAATTGATTTTAGAATAATCGTTTGCGTTGTTAGATTTAAGAACTAAACTGTCTGAACTTTTATACATATTTTATCGTTCTGATTTGACCTTTTAATGTTGTCCTCAAATTAAAGGATAATACATAGTTTTGTACACTTCATAGATTGACAGCTTCGGCCTTATGCATTTTATACCAAGCATATTTTTCAGTTGGTTTAAATAAACCGGAAAAAATATTTCTGTCAAATAAGTATTATTCAAATGTGTTCATTCTCAAAGCAGTATAATTGCACATGTATGTGATTAATTAAAAGTCATTCTACAGGGGTTTATGGAAAGTTAGCATCAAGATCTGACCCTAGCGAAACAAGCACTGAAACTCAGAAAGCATAGGACAATTGTTTCGGAGTTCCACTGAGTTATAACCACTGAAGCTCAACCACCTCAAGCACATCAGAAGATGGTTGTATGATACAACAAGTTGATTGAAATAAAAAATGTGTGTACCACTGGATACCAGCTCAGTGGTCTAACAATTAAGTGATCATCGTAGGGCCCAAAGGTAGTGGGTTCAGTTTTCATTGGGGTCGTAGAAGAATGCTACTGAGTAGTCTCCGGTGATTCCTGATTTACTGTGGCCGTTTTATCGAGCTCATTTTGTGATGATGACTATGAAACGATAAGTCAGTTGAAGTTTAACTAGTTATTGTGTAAAATATCATTAGATTTAATTTCTGAAGGTGTTTTCTTCTTCATAAATTTTTCTAAATCTTAAAACGACCACGAATTTCTCATAACAACCTATTAAAAACTATAGAAAGCCTACCTATACACTTATATGGAGTTGAATATCTCTGATATGAGTTTAGAATTCCGCATAGTTTAGACTTAAAACGATTTTACTTTACTTGACAAAGTCGGCAATTTAAATTATCATTTATGAACACAGTGATAAAATGAAAATTCTTCGGATTTAACTAAACAAGTTCGACAACTACCCCATGTTAAATGCTTTTAGTCAAGACTTAACTGGCATAGAATTCAATACATGTTGAAATTCGTTTATAAATCTATAACCTACTGAATAAAATAGTCTTTGAAATCAATCAGCTGTTTGGTTAAGAGTTACAAAGATTTCTTGAACAATACAAGTCTAAGGGGATTATTGAAGAAGTAAGTGGAGAGAGACGATTTTTATGAATGTTTTAGACAACCGAAAAAGAGGTGGGACATGGAGGATTAGTGTCACCAATAATGTTTAAAATAAAGTTTATCTGACTTGAGCCTGAGTATCTATCTGTTGAGCAGATTATTGAAATAAAATCAGCTCTATGCAATCTATATTACAATTTCTAACTACTTATAATTTGCATACCATGTTTTAAGCTTTATAACCTTGACTGTTGACTTCAGATAGCATTATCCAACCATCACAAAATAAAAAATATGTGACCTTTATGTATCGTCCTATGACTATGACACTTAGCTTACTACACAAAACACAATATTTGAAGTTTCAGTAGATTCGTAACTAAGTTAGTTGATTGTGACACATGATGACACAAGTAGGGATCCTCAGTAGATTCGCCTGAAAAGCGATTCGAAATGAACTGAATACCTCCTTCATATATTCAAATTCATTTGTTAGTAAAAATACTCAACTTATACAAGAAGTTAATAAAGGAAATTTAACTATGATCCAATTATTTTGGTAAAACAAACAACTGACTTATTTAATAAAAGTGAATACCTTTCAGATCGGAAGAGAAATACATGAATTTAGTGATAATTCGGTTTCTGCCATTTTTAAAGCTCAAATATTCTGTTCGGCAGATAATTATTTTCTCAATTGGTTAATTTTTTAAACTAATTTTTATATGTTTCATCACTGCGCCTTTTTGTTTTTATGCTGTATTTTCAATGTCCAATATCTAGTCGCAAAATAACCATTAAAAGACCTTAATAAAAAGGATGTATAAAAATGCACTAATTCAAATTCAGTTTTACAGAAATTATTATTTCAGTGAATTTGATCCTGTAATTATGTACATAAGTTCAGGTTGCCATACTACATTAGCAGAGAGACGCAAATTTCAAATCAAATCCCATAGTGGTAGAGGTAGTAGAGGTATTAATGGTAATGAAGAAGACTAGGGTTTGAAGATATTATTCAAGAAGTATAATTCAGTGAGATAAGGTTAGAAAGACAAAGATAGAGGTGCTGATGAATCCCAGAAGATTAGGATCTGAGAGAGCACAACGAATGTGCTGGATTACCGTTGTAGAAGACGGATTTAAAACTCCAGAAGTATTTATCTTTAGGTCATTGTCATAAAACTTGTTTGCTTTTTACATCCATCAATTTGAGATTGAAGACATATCAATATAGTTCTAGATGACTGAACTATTGAGCAATTACTGACGAAAACTACTCCAAAACACCATGAATTTATTGAAACGTCAATAATAAAAGAATGGTTACCTTTATTCGAAAAAAAAACAGATATTTCTATTTTCGTTAAAAACAATTTCTCATCATTATGTGGAATTATTATTGAGATAATTTAAAGAATTTTACAAAAAATTAATTCTGTTCTTCCTATTCCCTTAGGAAAACAAAATAGTGAACAGATGAAAAACAAGCAATCGTTAATCGGTTTGTAAATATTCTTAATTACGATCTCAGTTACAATTCGTACAAAATTTTAAAAAAAATTTAGAATTTCTTTTCAAAATAAAAAAAAATACTTACTTTCATTCTCATCATCTTCCATTCCAGTTGAACCAGTGAATACCGGCAAAATTTTCACTTCAGGTATTTCAGCTGAGGTCCATCTTCTTCTAGTTGAATATGTTGGTTTCAGCTGAAAAGTATCTTGTGCTGTTTGCAGTAATCTTTGTGATTCATCTTTTACGCCTGCGTCTAATCCAAAATGATATTTTTCATCAAATCGACCTAGTCGTCTAAGTCTACAAAATGTTTGAAAATCCATATGAGGTTCTTTAAGTTTATGCTCTATTAATAAACCATTATAATAAGCTTCTTGTTCATCAGTCGGTGGAGGTGTAGTATACAGTTGTGTGGTAAACTGTGTTTTCGATCTGATCGGTATCCTCTCAGTGTCAATATTGTACACACTATCATCTAATGTAAGTGATCTTTTGTAAATTGTCTTTGAGTTTTGCTTTTCCCTGCGTTTTTGTTGCTGTTGGCTCATCCAGAAATACTCCTCTGGATAATATTGTCTACCTTTTTGATATATTGGACCCCAATGTACTGAGCGATTTTGCATAGCTGATGACATCTTCTCTTGTGTAATATCATCTAAACCTGAGGCATATCTTGAGAGGTTAACATCAGCTTCAGTAAAACCTGGCCAGTCAGTTGTTTCATGCTGGTCGAAATAAGTTAACAGTGCACTACTTTCATCACTTTTGGATATGTCCGCTCTTGGCAAATTTGAGTAATAGTATGGTATATTACGTGTACAGTATGCATGATCAAAGCTTCTTGTTATGATATGAGGATCCCTCATTGTACGTCGTGGTGGAATGTCACTTTTTGGTCTGTATGGGGAACCAGTTTTACTCACACCAGCTTTTAATTCAAGCTGATAATCTGGCTGATAAATTGGTTGTTGTAATTTCACTGGTTTCTGCCTATGTTGTAAGGATTCTACAAAATCTTTACTTTGCAATGACTCTCGTGGATTTCCGGGAGTTACAGTAGAAGTGTATATTTTCAAAGGAAACTCTTGTAATAGATACCTTTCGGTATCTCCATCATCACTAGTCAGGTGTTTTTTCACAGCAAGAGGGCGAGTAGTTCGTTTTTCATCCAAACTTTTGTGAACTGTAGTTATCATTCTCGGATTATGTGCATACTGTGAAGACATTTTACGGTAGAATGGGGTTTGTCCAGTCTCTAAAGATACCCAATCCAAGCTACTACCTAAACCTGAGGTATCTGCACTCCCATGTTTGACAGATGGATCGAACTGCTTTGACGCTCTTCTAATGCGTCTCATATTGACATTCATAGAAGATATATGAGATGGAATATGAGGTATTGAAAATACTGATTTACGTTTAGCCACATAACTTCTTCCTCTTTCAACATTCGCAGAGTCACTTAAGTCTGCACTTAAAGTGAAATCCTGTACAGGGTCACCGAATTTTTTAACACCTTTTGCCAACCTACTGTATTCATAATTTTCTCCACTTTCAGTATCCAAACTTATACGGTAACGTGAATGTGATGTCAATGGTGAACATGCGGTTGAATATGGCTGATTGTCAGATGCGAAATCCATCGAAACACCTGAATCTTGAGTTTTAGCTAATGATCCAGATTCTTTAATGAGTGAACTTTCATGCTGAGTTGTCACTTCTTTCTCGGCATCATCTGGACATTTAACAGCAGCACGTGCTGCTAATGACCATAATTTACGCCTTCTTTCACTAGGCATTCGATGAAATGATTTTATATCCTGTTCAGTCTCCATTATTATAAGTACTTGTATAATGAATAATATTATCTTTATTCTTTGTGCTTTGTTATTCAATAAGTAATGATTGGATAAATAACAGTATTTTACTATATATGAAAATCATTATAAACATTATGTTATATTTGAGTTAAAAGTTGACATATACATTCCATTATATATCATATATTTGCGTTTGAATGTTGGACTAATCAATAAGAGTAGCACTGAATAATGAGATGCTAAATAGTTTTGCAAATAATTTCTATTATTATTATGAATTTTACTACTCATCATTACTTGAAATTGTAAAATTCATGAAAAATAATATACGAAGATTACTATTGATAACATTGAATATAATAAATATCTAATTTGTGTAAATGAATTGTTTATAATCCGGAAAATGTAATTTACAAGTTCTTTTCCCCTTCATATTAATGTGATTTGTTTTAAAATCCTTTTCAATCACTGTTGATAGTTTTCAAGTGATAAATTAGTTAGTTAATATTGTAGTGTTACATGTTCAATGGACGAAATCTTAAATTTCATTCACTGTCAAATTCTCGTATTTAATTTCGCACAAGAACTAATTGGAACTGAGACTAAACAAATAATTAATGGTGAGTAGTATTTATATTCATATACGATTGCAGTAACAACTGATTCTTGCATTAATAAGATTGAGAATATCTCCCCAGGTTTATGATTGGTTGATCCAAGGACGATGACCTTGAATTTGGTATTTTGAGGTAGGTGAGAGAAATTATGGATTTTAACTGAACTAAGTAGGCTGATATGTATATATGTATATATATATATACATACATATTTAGGTATTCAAATCTTTAACTGACTAGAAAGATATGTATAGATAGTTTCATCAGGAAACACAAATTAGGTTGCTTTGCTTCACTCAATGAATTGATATAAAAATAAAAATGTGTGTTAGTCATGTATTCAATTGTTTACACTATGAAAGGCATACAGAAATTTCTGAGTATACATAAGGATAGACGTAGAGGATTTCTATCAAGTCATACGTTTAGTTAGTGTGTTTGTACATCATTGACGAGAAAGACTAATCAGAGAACTACTTTTCGTATTCGGTGAGAGAGAAATCGTTATGTTAGAAACAATTCTTTGTCTGATTTACGTATGAATTCTTTATTAGGAAGGAATATGTCATATCGGTTAAGGTAGCAGGAAACCGTAAGTTAAGTATAGATAGATAGATAGATAAGTAAGTCATTGAAATAGTTTAATGAGAGATAAAATTCAATTTCATCCTAATTTCATTTTCTATTTAACTACATACACTGAAATCAATTTGCGGTTTATTTGTAGATTCGATGATGGTCAGAAATAAATGAAGAACTATATATAAAATGACACATTTTCTATCCATCATAGATCAACTATTCCTTCCGATGAAAGATAATTATTCGTACAAGAACACTGTCAGAAGATTGCCTACACATTAATGATGTTGATGTTGAGTAATCATCAAATAAAAACTACACTGGTTGTGAAGCCGGTCTATGAAACCATAAACAATGATTGTATAACTGATTTCGATCTATTTTTAGGACATTTCAACAACACATATATATGTATACATGTACAACGTAAGCTGTTTATCCACTTTCGATAAAGTGTCATAATTTCACTGACAAAGAAAAGCAACTTATTTCACAAGAAAAAAAAAACAAGAGATCAACTAAATTCAGATAGCATTATACTTGAAAAATTCTTGTGAAAAAAAATTTTTTTTCATTGAGTTTTACAAAGTACAGATTAAAGTGAAAATTATTTTAAACATATGCTGATTTCAATTTCGACAGTTATTATTTCAAAAGGCATTTAAACCCAATGGAATTTTAAAATTTATTAAATTCAAATGTCATTAAATTCGCATTCATTTCATCATAAAATTTTAGACGTGTGTAGGTTTAATGAAAAATATTTGTGACGACTGAGTGGAAATTTTTATAACTTTTATCAAAAATAACACATAACTTGTTTTTCATTACAAACTTACAGAGATGAATGAACCATTGTTAGACCACCATTAGAAACCTGAATACACTTGACGGCTGTTTCGTCCTGTTGTGGGACTCATCAGCAGTGCTTATTCACGACCATTGCATGCAGGAATCAAACCTAGAACCAATGTGCTCGTTAGTGACTAACTTCGTGAGGGAATTCTCAGAATCCTAGTGAAAAGACGTAGCTAGTAGAGTTCCATTCTATCAGGGTAGGTAGTAACTACCAAAAACAATGGTTGAGGTTGTGAAAAACATTAAATCAGTCAGGGTTAGGAATTCACAGCGTCGGACGCCAGCTCAGTGTTCTAGGGGTTAAGAGGTCGAATGAATAACCTGAAGTCCTGGATTCGATTCCAGCAAGTAGAGGATGCGCACTGCTGATGAGTCCCATACCAGAACGCAAAGGCCGTCCAGTGCCTCCAGGTTTTCAATGGTGTTCTAACAACGATCATTTCACAATTACAGTAACATAACTTATTCGCTAGATAGATGATTTTGTAGAAAATGGTAGTATTTATCACTCAGTGATCCCATTTAGGACGCCAATGAAAATCCAAGAAACAATCTTCCTTGTATCGGACTCGTCGATTTATTAAGGTATTGACATTAATCAAATACTCAGTTTGAATGTTATACTACGTAAATCAAATTTCTGTATATCTCAGCTGGGAACAAGTTGAACAGCATCGAATAACTGGCAATCTAAATTATGTATATTAACCATGCTTAGAATCAACAATTCACATAGTTTGACCTGTCGGTCAACTTGCATCTTCTTCAAAAATTATAATAATGAGCATAAAGTAAACATTTCTGACCAATGTGATGTTCTCCTGAAACTAATAAGTATAACTTGGTGAAAGCATGAACAAGAAGATTTCAGTCTAACTTAAAATTAATTAACGTTTTTTGTTAAGCTGGTCAATTGATATGCTTGAAACTATTACGACTTCACCTTAGTCGGTAAATGATAGCGAAGACAAATGATCCAGTGACACGACATACTACTTTAATCCGAGCGTCCTAAGGCCAATTAAATAGAGGAAGAAGTCTTGAGAAGACGTAGAAAGTGTATTCTACAAGCACCCATTCTACATGCCCACAAATCGAGTTTATTTATACATCATAGAAACGTATTTGAAAGAGACACAAAATAGCCTACTAAAATCATCCATCAACCAATAACAGTCAAGGATTGTCTGAGTGGGTAATATAATCTCAAGGTCAACTGATCAGCCCACGCGTTAAAACAAAATCCACAATTAGGACCTTTATCAAGTAAGTTCAGGGGATCTAACGTCACCAACAATTTTTAAGCAGTTTAAATCATCTTTATAATGTACTTACCAGTCCTAACACAGGAGTTCATGGTGAGGCAATCAATTAGGTGAATATGCCATTATAAACCATACTGAATGTGACATTTCTTAATACTTCTTAGGCACTTACTCACTTAAGCCCGTTATCAGTTTCTGGTTAATGTTTTTTAACGAGTCGCTAACACTTAACCCAGCTCTCCTACTTTATCCGGGCTTGGTGACTGACTGGCAGTCACCAAAGAGGGGATGACAAAAATATCTTTCCGATATTTGATGATATTCACTAGTTATTTAGCCAAATTTAAATTAGGAAGCAAATAAAACATAACATATTTATGACATTTCAAACAAATATGGTTTATCAATAAGTATTGCAATAAATATATCTCAGTTTAATTAAATCAGTTAACTGACAGATTAACTTAACGAACAAGAAATTGTCTCACTAACATTTCAAATTCTATGAATTTCATTTGTGTCCAAAACATTTGTACAAAATAATTGATAATTATCATGTCAGCTGACAATTATTCCCTGTGTCTTTTCAACTATTCAGTTTGAAATGATGAAAAAAAAGTACAATTCACTATTTAATTTCTCAGCAAACAAATAAATCAGTTAGTAATTATTGTTAATATTCAGGCAATATATGCTACTCTTCAAGCAATTAAGTAACTAAAATAGTATATTGCGCAAGTCATTATTACTATTACATCTGTTAGTTGTTAGTTTACTTGTGAACAATAAAGTATTCAATGAAAGGGGAACGACTTAGTCGGGAGTATATGTCAACTTAAAAATTAATATTTAGTGATGATCACTTCGAAATTATCAATTGGTCAATGTTAGAACACCAGTGGCAATATGGAAGCAATGAACGGCCGTTTCGTCCTGATATGGGACTACTCATCAGCAGTCAGCATCCACGACTCTTGCTACTCGCAGAATTTGAACCTAGGACCCTCCATCTTGCGTCCGAACGCTTGAAATCTGGACCACTGAGCCGTCATCGAACGGTGTTAATGTTTAACTCCGATCAATTCACGGTCTTGAGGTCCAAAACCAGGATGAAACGGCCGTCCAGTGCCTCCAGGTTCCGAGTGGTGGTTTGACATTGATCGATCTGTTATTTCAGAGTAACTCAATAATCTCCACAACCTTATAGTGATGATTGTGGTCAAACAGTTCTATTTTTCTGGTAGCGAATATTGACAGTGGTAATGTTCATATTAGTATGAGTGATAATCATATTAGTGAAAATAGAGGTAATAGTTGTAGTTTACACTGTTTAATGTGAAGTCCCACTTTCTGACGATATGTAGTGGAATCACACTGGAATCAATGGTTTTCGTAGGGTGATTTAAATGAAAAGAAATTGAAGCAGTAGATTAACATGTGATTTATACAAACTCTGTATTATACAGAGTGAATTCATCAAAAAAATGTAGATTGTTCAGCTCTTTCAATAAACTTACAACTTGCTTACGCTATACTAGTCAGTACAATGATTAACTTTTGAAAACCGTCTAATATACATTTGGTTTTCATTGAAAATTGAAATCAGCTAAAACATTTTAGGAAATCTGGATAACACTAGTAACACTGATTATAAAAG